TTTTTTTTTTTTTTTTTTTTTTTTTTTTTTTTGATAAAGGGCTTACTATTGCATTAAAAGAAAAGAAAATAAAAGTCATACACAGCCCAGCCAGGCATTAAGTTTTGGGTCTAGCCCAGTAGTAAATAACAACAAGCAAGTTTTCGAGACCCATACTGTGAGAAATTAGCCGACTTTGGCTATTCAGTTTCCACGGAGACATGCAAAGCATTTTTTTTTTTTGTTTTTTTTTCTTGGAGAGTTGATCGAGAAGTTGCTTCGTTGAAAGGACGCTTACTCAGGTAACAGGCATCCAAATTGTGTACAGCGCCGACGACAGAGAAGGGGAGGATAGTCTGATTGAGGCTATTTTAGTCCTGATGGTTGAGATAACCGTTGATGAGATAGAGTCAGGTGATCGGAAGTTGTTACGGTGCAAGCGGTTGTTTCGCTCTGTCCAGATCAGATATATTACACACTGCCAAACAAGTAGACAGAGTAGTCTTTGGGGACGTGGGCCGTTTAGCTGTTGAAGATCGGAGATAGTTTGGGTCCAAGATCGAGCGGGTGAGAAGTTACAACGCGAGGCCATTGCTGTCCAGACAGACCAAACAAAAGGGCATTCGAAGAAGATATGGTTTCGAGATTCAATCGGACCATTGCAGAGGAGACAATTGGGTTGCGTTGACAAACCCCAGTTGATAAGCCGATCTCTGGTTGGACATCTGTCTTTTATGAAGAGCCAGGTTAGAAAGCTATGTTTCGGAATTCCCCTTGAGATCCAGACCAGTTTACACCAAGATACTAAAGGGTTGTGATGTTTTAGTTCTCTGTAAACTTGGCCAGTAGAGTAGGTCTTTTGTTTCTTGCCATTCATGGTCCACTCAAATTGGTCCTCATCATCGGTTAGTACTATGGTAGAGAGATAAGTGTAGAGATTGACCTGGTTGTCTGAACGCGCAGGTGGAAGAAGCCACTGACCGTGCTGAAACATATCTGCAATTGTAGCTGTTTGCGGAATTCCTAACCGTCTTGTTTGGCCAACGTTCAGATACGCAGACAAGTTTCCGAAGGGACTCCAATTATCACTCCAAAACCGACAGGTAGTGCCATTCCCAATTCTTGTTTTGATCCAATTAAAAGCTTCATCTCGAAATCTGAGCATGCGATTGATGGCCCAAGAATATTTTTGACTCTCTTTCAGTATCCAGAAGTTCGATAAACAGCCAGAGAGGATCTCATGTGTGAACCAGGCTACCCAAATAGATCCCGATTGAAAGAAGAGCAGCCAAATAAGTTTTATCGCACAAGCTTTGTTCCAAGTAAGTAAGTCTCTAACTGCAAGTCCTCCTTCTTCTTTTGCATGTGTAATTTCCTCCCAAGCAACCCTAGCTGAGTGATTTCCTTCTATAGTACCCTTCCAAAGATAGGCACCACAGAGGGAGTTTAAAGTTTTGATGCAGCATTTAGGGAGAGAAAAAGTAGCACACCAAAAATTTGAGATGCCTGATATCACAGTGTTGATTAGAAGAAGTCTCCCCGCAAATGATAACGTCCTAGCACTCCATGAGTTTAGCTTCGCCTTTACACTTTGTATTAAGGGTTCACAATTTGACATTGATAGCTTTTTTGTTACTAAGGGGATACCAAGATATCTGATAGGGAGAATTGCGTGAGCTAGACCTGTTTCCCTTGTAATCTGAACGATATCTGATGTAGTGACACCGGATGAGAAGTAACTGGTTTTAGAGATGCTTAAAGCTAAACCAGATTGTGCCTCGAATGATCTTAATACATCCAGAACCCCTTGAACCGATCTTAGTGAACCCTCTGTGAAAATTAGGAGATCATCAGCAAAACACAAGTGTGTTAATTTAGATTGTATACATCTGTGATGATAACCAAATTTTCCTTCATCCGCAGCTTTATCAAGAAGGAGGGAGAGGCAATTCATGGCTATGACAAAAAGGTACGGGGACATTGGGTCTCCTTGTCTTAGCCCACGCTTGCTCTTAAAATACCCTTGCACTGTGCCGTTATATCCCACTGAGAAAGATGGAGTACAGATACATGCCCTCAACCATCGAATGAAAAGGTTAGGAACTCCAATACCTGATAGACAGTTTAAAATAAATTCCCAGTTTATAGTGTCGAAAGCTTTAGCTATGTCCACCTTTAGAACCAAACGCTTAGGCCCTTTGTTACGATGATACCCATGCACTATTTCTGAGGCCAGCACAGTGTTTTCGATTAGCAATCTTCCTTGGACAAAGGCTGTTTGGTTAGGAAGAATAAGGTCAGGGAGCATAGGTTTTAGCCGATGAACCAGCAACTTAGATATAACTTTGTAAATTGTGTTGCAACAGGAGATTGGCCTAAAGTCACTGACTGTCGAAGCTCCAGGTCTCTTAGGGATGAGACTGAGAATGGTTGCATTGGTAGCAGATGGCAGGAATCCTGTGGAAAAAAAGGTACCAACCGAAGTTGTTACTTCTTGACCGAGAATTTCCCAAGCAGCTTTGTAGAATCCAGAGGTGAGTCCATCAGGTCCAGGAGCTTTATTAGGATTCAATTTCATCATAACCCTAGTAACTTCAGATATAGTTGGCTGCAGGGACATCGAGGTAACAAGCTGAGAAGGGCAACGGTATGAAATAAGTTCCTGGAACCAGGTGGAAGGGCAGACTACAAATGGGAGGACCGCTGGAGATAGAAGATTTTGAAAATGAGATATAGCCATCATTCCCATAAGAATAGGATCAGTTATCAGAGTTCCAGCTGGAGTGGAGAACGATCTGATAGCATTGTAAGAAGCTCTGACTTGGACTAGGCGGTGGAAGAAAGTGGTATTTAGATCCCCCTCATTTAACCAGTTAATTCTTGATTTCTGTCTGAAAAATGCTTCCTCGATTTGCCTGAGAAAACTCCACTTATGATGCAGGTCTTGCTCTTCTTGGAATAGCGCTGGAGTCGGATTTTGTAGCGCCTGAATCTGCACATTATTTAACAAAATGTTAGTCTCTCTCACTCTCTCTTGGATATTTGAAAAATTTTCTCTATTGAGTTGTTTTAATGCTCCTTTTATTTTTCTGAGTTTATAGCAAAGAGAAGAGAGATCCGAAGCAAATCCTCCGGCCTGAATCCATGCTTCCTCTAATGTCCGGGTGAAATTCTGGTGTTTGGTTAGATAGTTGAAGAACTTAAAGGGGCGGGTTCCGGCTATAGGAAGGGGGACAGAGAGGTCAATAAGACAGGGAGAGTGGTCAGAGAATTCATGGGGGAGGAAGGTGGCTAAGCTGTGGGGAAAGTTGGCGATCCATTGCTGGTTAACAAGTAAGCGGTCAAGCTTTTCAGCGATAGGAGCAGAGGGGCATTTATTGGTCCAAGTGAAGAGAGGACCGAGAAAACGAAGGTCAAAAACACCTAACTGGGTGAGGACATTTCTGAGAGAGGTCATTTGAGGGGTAAGGGTAGTGATAGAAGGAGAGGAGTGTTCCGCAGGATGGGTAATTTGGTTTAAATCTCCTCCCAAGATCCAGGGACCAGACTCTAAATCGAGAGATTGATGGGTATTGAGGAGCTCAACCCATAGATCATGACGGTCATCGTTATCATTTGAAGCGTAGATAGCGGTGAAGGTAAACTTGTAACAAGTAGATATGCTAACTTCACACGTGATAGCTTGCTTCGATTGACTAATTACGCGTACATCAGCCGGAGATTTCCAGATAAGTACAATTCTCCCATCACCATCTGAATTATGATTAGAACAGTAGTTCCAACCATTGCAAACTTTTGACATGATGTAGGGAAGCTGAGTCTCTTTAATATGGGTCTCTAAAAGTGCTCCAAAAATAGGTTTCTGTGACAAAAGCCACTGGCTGAGCGGTGCATGCTTGTTCGGGTGATTAATGCCCCGAACATTCCAAAAAAATAGGTTAGTACTCATAGAGAATTAGGAGGAGACACTCCTGTTAAGAGGAGGGGTCCTTCTAAGGTAGTTTGGCGAACATGAGATTTCAAAAGGGGGAGAATAATGGGTGGTGAGCTTGTGGTTTTTGAGGAATTGGGTGGGTGATTTTGGTTTTTTTCGGTAGAAGTTTTTGAGGCTTTATTAGGGGGTGTTATTAGGTTAGAGAAAGGGTTTAGTTCAGGGAGCATGGCTAAATAGGAAGATGGATAAGGTCTTTTTAGAGAGGTTTTATGTTTGAAAGGTTTTTGTCTTTTGGGCATGGGCGGGATAGCTGAGAGGGCAGTAACAAAAGTCGCTTCATCAGCAGAAGCTGAGAAGACGAGAGTTGTTTGGTCAACAATGGGGGATTTCTCATTAACAGAAGATGAAATTGGTCCCCGAGAAGCAGATTTAGTTGGAGAAAGTGATTGAATGACGAGATCAGGAACATCTTCAGCAGCTACCTCAGGTACAGGCGACTTAACGATTTCCTCTACACGTGAAGAAGTTTTTCCATACTGATCTTCACTCTCATTTTTGTCTTCCTGCATTGGCTGTGGGGTGCTAGAATTGTCTTCATTACTAGGACTAGGTACTGGTGGATCTTTTTTCTTTGTTCCTTCAGTTGTTCTTCCAGTCGGTATCCAGGTTTGATTGGTATAAAGACAATCCTTGATGATGTGGCCAATTTGTTTGCAGTGAGAGCACGACGGAGGAGCCCAAGGATACTCAACTCTAACAGGAATTACCGCTCCACTTTGGCGTTTGAGCTCAATCATGGAGGGGAGAGGGCTTGTAAGATCAGCTTCTACCTTTACATGTGCCACTTCAAGGTTAGAAAGATTCTTCGTGAATTCATCAGTTTCTTTTGGCTCACCAACTAATCCTGCTGCAAAGCTCAACCCTTCCTGTGAACGAAGGTCGAGAGGTATTCCTTTAAGGTGGGCCCAGATTGGGATGGAGAGAAGCTCAGGTGTAGCAATCTCTTTGTCAGGACACCATTTAGCAACGTGGAACATAGCAGTTCCCACATACCACAATCTCTTTTCTAGAACCTTATTCCTTATGTATTCATTCGGTATACGGACCATCATAGTACGCTCTTTAGGGTTAGTGTGAATTTCAAGCTTTGTACCTTTTCCCCATAAGAAATTTAAAACGTTTTCTATGGCTTTGTAGGAGGGCATCTTGGCGAAGAAAGCACCAATAATGAAGTCTTTATGTAGGGATGCACCTCGTTCAAAAACTTCGTCAGGAATGGTAACTTGGGGTACACCAACTTCTGAGAAGACAAGTGGTGCTAGTCTGCGAAGCGAACGGTCAGCAAAAAGTTTGGCCTTTTGGGCATATGTTTGGGTAGGGGGAGGGGCGTTATTTTCAGTTGAGGGGTTAGAGGTAGTTGGGGGGTTAGAGGTGGGAGAGGGGGCGGAGGCTAAAAGAGGGTTTGGTGTGGATTCTGTAGTAGTGGATTCTGTGGTAGTGGTTGTGGTAAGTGCTGGAGCTGAAATAGTGTTTGAGGACGATATAGGGTTTTCTGATGGATGAACAAGGATGGGAGGGTTAGAGGACGAAATAGAATTGGGAGTGGCTTGTTGGCGAGGTGGGGAGGATGAGGTTGAAGTAATTAAACCTGCAGAAGCACGGTTAGTGTATAAGGGAGACGAGGATTTGAGAGGAAGGGCAATAAGTCCTTTGAAATTTAGGTCAACAGTAGTTTTCGGAATTTGTAATGTGGTTCCAGATTCAGAGTAAATCTGAGATTTCTGAGTCAAATTGACACCAGTAGTAGGGGTGGAACAACCAGACTTCCAATCTTTAACTGCAGTCCCCTGAGATGGAGAAATTTGCATAGGAGATTGGGATTTCCGAGGAGTAGTTTTGGAGGAGAGAAGGGGGAAATCGGAGATGGGTAGGGTGGGGGAAATGTCAGGAGGGTCGGGGGGAGCTGGGGGAGGACGAGAGGATGCACTACCAGGGGTAGCGAGCGACGGATTCAGGACGGAGGTGTTGTCGGAAGGGAACCAGGGGTTCGCACTCTCCATCTTTTATTATTAATTTTTGAGGGAAACTCATTGACCGTCGGAGTTTGGCAGCGATGAATGTTCTTTTTGTTCTCTCTCGATTGGTATCTAATTTGATCACCGTTTGTTTCTATGTATTGTATTTGGACCCACTCGAAAGAGCTTTTATTATTGCTTTTTCTGTTGATCTATATTCACTTGTGTGATGATGACTTCTTATACTGATAAGCAAAATGTTATTTAGTGTTTTTTTCTGACCGACATGTAATCAAAAAGTTCACCAAGTGGAACGAAAGACATTACTACACGTAAACTACTTGTAATGTTTGGATGCATACAGACAATGTGCACGTTATGCCGACGCTGCGTGTCTTAGTATGAATCATTGTTCTTCTGTAACATATACGGTTATAAACTCGTTATAAGCTTCCTGATATTGTTGATATGAGTGAAGAAGATTCAGAGACCTACGGTTACAAAAAGAAAGATTCACAGACGTACACAAGCTCAAATGCAAGACACATTAATAAAATCAAATAATAAAACAAATTGAATTCGTAAACATGAGGACAGTGTAATGCGTGACATGGAAGTAATGCCACCGAATATAAGGGTTAGTCAGGCGCTTTGTATTAAATGAATTAAGCAGCTTCCGTAAGAGGAGCGTGTTTGCTATATAGTGGTTAGAATTGTTTTAAGATATTGACCAAATTTGTTTAACTTAATTTGTAGTTTGTTTTGATAAACGATACATTAAATCTTTTAATATATGGACGTAATATCTAGATTATCGATAACTCAGTTCATATATTATTTCTTTCGTATCTATCAATAGTTAGGTTAAGTCTAATTCTTATATTAGCATACAGTTAGGATTTTATATGAAAAGATTTTCCCTAATTGAATAAAATATTATTGGCCCTACCAAGATATTGTATTAATTTCTCTATAGATAATATTGTAAATTCAGTGATTGCATATCCATTATTTTACTATATGGGCTAAAATATATTGCTGATTAATTAATCTAATTTTCAATTAATTTAAGTAACACTAATATGCTTATAAGAATAAACTTGAGCATGAATGGGAAATAAAATGTCTCATATGATCGGAAGTTTCTTCTTTGTTTTTGTTAAGTAAATAATAAAAGAGACGAGTTTCCTTGTACGATATGGTTTGTGATTTTTATGAATATAAATACAAAAAAGTTTGATTAACAACCAAAAATAATCATTAAAAATTAATGTGGTTTTGATTTTCATCTTCTTTGATAAAGTCGCCTGCCTTCGCAGCCACTGTTTCTTCTTCTTTGAGCTTTTTCTGAAAATTCTCCCTAATTTTTCTTGTTCAACACAAAACCTCAACAGCTTCCCAGGCACCAGTAAGGATTTTAAGGTAAAGATCAAAGCTTTTTTTTTTCTGAGTTTTTGGCAACTTAGCAGTTTTATTCCTTTTCCTTTACAAAAGATGTACATATTTGTTTTGTATGATCACCAACTCTGTTTCTGCGCTTCTTCTTTTCTCTCTTTGGTAGTTCTGAGATAAAAGTTTCTTTTTCTTTATTGCTGTTTTTTTTCAACCTACTTGTTTGGTTTCTTGTTCTACTGTCTTTGTTTTTGATCTCTCTGTTTTCTATTTTTTTTCTTCTGTCTACTAGGTTTTGTAATTGATTTTGGTAGTTATAGTATCTCTGGTATAGTAAAACCTAATTGAGGGTTTACAAAAACTATCAAGCTTAATCTAAGCTAATTCATATGTCTTTCCATGACTTGCTGTTTTTATATCTAAATAGCTTTTTTCCACCAATGAAATTTGATTACACAAGAGTTGAGTGTATGCAAGTTGATACAATTGTATTGTTTTCTTTATCTCATGGCTGGCTATTATCTCATTGTTAGTGCAAAGCTACTACATTTAAATGTGGTTACTCAGTTACTTAACTAATGATCATAGTCCTGTTTTGATATTTCAGGACTTAGGAACTCAGTAATCTGCCACCTGTCGAAAACTTTGTTTAACCATCGAAAGAATGGGTTGCTGCTGCTGTTGTTTCCCGACTCTACCTGAAGTAAAAAACCTTCTTCTAAATGATTCAGAGAAAATATATTTTCTTTCTTTATTGATATTTAATTATATTTTCCTGCAGAGCGCAAGAACTATAGACGAGCATGTTCCTTTATCTCGTGCCCCTACTTCCTCTGTAGTACCTACGGAAGCAGTAAACAGAAATTTAGCCTCTAATCTATACACTGCACCTCTTCAGCCTCCTCTTCCTGTATCATTCTCCCCAAGAAATCCATCGAAATTGCCATTAACTCAGAGTAATTCGAGCCAAGTAGCGGCTCGTGAAGTCGCAACACAAAGTGTTCTAGAAAAGGTTCCAACACAGAGTAGTGTTCAAGGAAAGGAAACATGGCCTGCTGATGATTTTGCTGATGTTGACCTTAAGAAAAAGAATCGAGAAACCATAGACGAGTGTCCAATTTGCTTAGAAGGTATTGTTTTTGTTTTACATCATTCAAAGTTACATAACAAAAGATAGCTTTTGTAATATGTCTTCATTTTGTTTTCGCAGAATATGACATAGACAACCCGAAGTTACTCACGAAATGTGGCCACGATTTTCATCTCGCTTGCATTCTTGAATGGATGGAAAGAAGTGAGGCTTGTCCAGTTTGTGACAAGGTTTGTGTCAGTAACAGAAACAACAACCTCCATATTTGTCTCACATACGTTTTAATAGGTCTTGTTTCTTTTTTTCTTTGTGCAGGAATTGGTACTCACTGAGTCATAATCAAGACATAGAATGGGTACAGAAGATTTGATTAGACTTGCTTTAGGTGATAGTGTGGTGGTATATGATCAACTTTGTTTGCTCTATTACATTCTTAAGCTTTGAAGTTCCTTTTGATTTTTTTTTATTATTCTTACCACTATTTGGATTATTCACAGACAAAAGAGATATACAACAAGACATATTAGCATATAGACAGAAACTACATTTTGATTGTTTGATTTACTAAGAAAAATTCTTCTACATTCTTTGATTTGTTAAAAGTTAAAAAAAGAGCAGTGTATAAAGAAGGAATCTCTGAAAAATTCTTACATAATAGTTTTCTTTATTACTAAAAGCCTCTGTATAAATCTAACTCTTATAGCTAAAAATAATGATTATGACAAAAAAAAAAGCAAGAAACTCTAACCTTTTATAACTTTTACAACAAGAGACATCCCTAAGAGAAACCTCTATCTATCATGGTGAACTGTTCTGAGTCTGATGAGCATTTGACAAAAGTCTCGTTAACTTACTCAAAGTCTCTCGAGCCGACACAGTCGCAGGATGATCCTCTCCTGAGATCGAAGTTCTTATAAAGATAGCTTTTCTAATTAGATCATCAGCCACACTAAACTGCCCACCTCTCAACATCAGCTTAGATCGAGTCTCCAACACAGTGGCTCGAGTCAGAGCAAGCTCTTCCCAAAGAACAGGGTTCAGCTGTGCGCTTGTCTGAACCGGTCTCCAACAAAGAGACTTATCTAACCACTTCTCCACCGGCGTCACAAGCGTTTGATCAGCCGCTTCGAGTGCGTTTGTGCAGACTCTAAGCAGCTCAACCGCAGCGCTGCACCGCGAAAAATTTATGAAAGTCCTAATCGCTAAGGGCAAGATTACTTGCTTCACAAGAAACAACAGCTCTGTTATCTTCAGCTGAATGGTTGGAGCTTCGTTGCCGAAACCGAACAGCAAAAAGCAAACCCCCCATATCTGCTCCGCTGTCTCAACCGTCGAGCCGCGGCTTATCACGGCTCGAACCATAGCAGGAGCGTTCTCATTCACCAGCACACGGTTTCTAGCGTAGAGTCTCACCAGCTCGTGTATTTGTATAAACCCTAGCTTGACACTACTTGTTCTAGCGATGTTGAATCTCAGCAACATAGAAGCAGCTTCACCTCCTGATCTTTTGGACTTAGAAGACGCAAAACCACAACTTATAGCGCGTCTCAGCTTCCTCCACAGACTTCTATGTTTCTCAGGGAGTTTATAAGCAGCCAAAGCTAACAAAGAAGCTGGAACTGGACCCGGAGCTAACCACCCGCCTGCAACAACCATTCTAGTAGCTAAACTCCTCGGTCCATCCGCGTGATCAAAGATCGAAAAACAAACTTCAAACAGCTGCAATAGAAACACACTTCTCCTCCTCAACAAGCTCCCCTCCCGACCAGACATCTCTCTCAACGGCATTCTATTTATAGTATCCAAAAGCCGGCTAGGGTTTATAGGAAGCTCAGACAAAATGGCTCCAACAATCGCTAATCCCAACGTTAACCTCCCAAGCTTCTCTTCCACAACTCTCAACGCATCCATCTCAGGAACAGGATAGTCTTTAACGCTGTTCCCCTGCATCAACACCATAGCTTCAGCGCCAGATAAGTAAGATAACTTCAACGGCTCCATGTTCATAACCCTAGAGAGACGCGTGGATATCAAGATATGCGTCCCTCCTCCAAACCTAGGAAGAAGATCCATCACAAGCTTCGAATCCCACCAGTCTTTTTCACTCTCCAAGTTATCAATCACAACCAAGAACGGTATGTTCCTCATCATCTCCTTCCTGATCCTCGAAACCGCGGCGTCTTCCTGCTCCTCAAAGCTCTTCATCCTCGTCTTATCAGAACAACTCTCCACGCCAACGTCAACCTCTAAGTATTGATAAAGATTTAGATAGTTCTGTCTTATGTAACGGCTCTCTCCACCTATCCAAAGAACCATCTTATACCTCTGGTGATGCCTGTAAGCAAACTCGAGAAGCAGTTCGGTTTTACCGATACCCGATTCACCTGAGACACACGCCACGCCTTTCCCGTAAGCTACTTTCGTAGACCGTTTTCTTCTAGTGTTGTTCCGTTTTAACTGATCAGTGCTTTGCATCTCAATCTCTTTCTCAGACTCTTTCCATACAACTTTCTCTTTACCTTTACCGTTCTTATTCTTGTTCCACCCTAACATCACATTCTTCTTCTTCTTTTTTCTTGCCTTCAACTCAAAGTAATCTCTCTCAGAATCTTTACAAACATCTCCGAACAAAACAAACTCCAACTCAGCCAACTCCTTCTTCCTCCCGACGAAACCATCGTTCCTCGGGTAAGGAAACTCCTCTTTCTCGGCCTTATCACGCCATTTACTCAACCTCTCAACAATACTCCTCCTCCCTAACCTCATAGCCAACAACGTCACAGCCCTAAACACAACATCTCTCCAGTTACCTTCATGAGCTTCAAGCTTCCAATCTTCAACACGAGACAACCCATGAACAGCTTCTCTCCACTCTCTCTCAATCCCTCCGTAACAATCCCAAACCTCTCCTCCGTGCTTCTCCCACAAGTCTCCTCTCTTCTCAACAATGTCCCGGACGAGACAGTCTCCCTGAGAGAGGTCGAAGAAGACCGGGACTAGGTTCTTCTTCTCGGAGAAAAACCGTAGCTCCTCGATAGTGTAAGGACTTTTGAAAGACTTTCTCGTGAGGATGATGACTCCGAAGGAAGCACCGTCCATTGCTCTCTCGATGATTCTCTGTTTACGTGAGCTTCTGCATCTGCCTCTATCCGACATGAAACAACTCATCCCTTGGAACTCTAACTCTGCTCTTAACCAATCAGCGAACCGAAGCAGAGAAGGTTTTTGTCCGTGTAAACCTAAGAAAACATCGCAGCATCTCACTCTATTGTAAGAAACTGAGACAGAAGATGTCTGAGTGTAGGAAGACGAATCATGCCCTCCTCCTCCTCTTGTGTATCTTGGGATGACACTACTGGAAGGTTCAAGATTCTGAAACATGAGGTCAGCGTGGTGGTCTTGGAAGCCAGAGCTGGAGGTGAGAGGGTCGAAGCTGTCATCGCATTGAGGATCAGAGCGAGTTGATTCGGAGTGTTCTTGTTGGAGTTTGGGAGATCTTGGGGAGAAGAAGGGAGATTGGTTGGCTGAGAAGAAAGCAGCAGAGGAAGATGAAGACATGTTCCTTGAAGGTTTTGTCGGATACTGTCCGAACCTGGAACTGTCACCTCGAGAATCCATAACCACGGTTTTGAGGGGGTTTCCTTTATTGACAATCTATCAAATCCCATAAATGCTGCTGCCCTATTAATCCATTGAAGCTAATCTGATTCCAAAAAAAGATAAAAAGAGAAAGTCAAAAGCTATAAGAGATGCAAGATTTGGACAGAACAAGGAAAGTTAACAGTATGTTTGGTAAGAAAAAGAGCAATGGACGGTGATTGAAATCTCCACAGTATTATACCATAAAGCTTTTGAGTCTACTTTTGATTTCTGAGTCCATAGTTTCACAAAATAAACACTTCTCATCAAAAGCAATAGTAATAAGAAGAATAAGAAGAAATGATGATTTTTTTTTATTAAGGAAAATAATTGATTTTGAGGACGTTGCAGATCTAAGCAGAAATGGAAATAAAATAATCATTTTTAGTGAAAATGAAAGTTTTGATTTTTATTTTCCTTATTCGTACATAGGGATTCAGATCTGAGAGAACTTACATAGCTCGCCGTCTTGAATAAGAAACCATCAAGAATATTATCTTGAGCTCAAGAATCAATCAAAGCTCAACTACTTCAGAAGAATGATGAATCCAGTGGAATGACTAATGAGAGTCCACCTGAAGAAGGAAGAAGAAGAAGGCAGCTCGAATTAAAACGACGTGTGTGAAGTCATTAAAGAGAGTGTATCAATCAATGAGAAAGGAGTTGAGAGTGAGAGTTTTTAAAAGAGAGAGAGAGAGAGAGAGAATAAAGAAGAAGAAGGAGAGTTAAAACACACTACAAAAGCTTTAATAGAGTAGTAGTCGAATGCATCGCCATTTACAGATAGACTTTGAAAAGGACTCTCATTTTTATTTTTATTTTCTTAAAACAAAAACAGGGGAGACAAAAGCTGAGATATGTCTTAATAGAATATTCACTAGAAAAAAACGAATTTTGATGAAAACCCAGATGAAAACAAGCAATGTTTCTTAATACCCAGAAGAGGAAATAATCTATAAAGGAATTTTTTGATCAATTTAGAGGAGAGGCTTACAGTTTTTTTGTGTTTGAAGCAACCGAGAGAGAAGATAATATGTGTAGTGAAAAAGTTAAGTCTTTAAGGGTTCTTATCCAAGAAACAGAAACATGGGCACTGTCAAATCACAAAAAGAAAGAAAACACAAAGTCTCACTCTTTCCCCCTCGCTGTCTTGAGATTTGCTTCTTCTTTCTATTCTCAGTTGGAAATATTATTATTGTTTCAAAAGAAGGAAGAAGAGAAGAGACAGAGATTGGGAGAAGTGAAATTTTCGAAATTAAACAAAAAAAAGAATTGTGAGACCTAAATGAAAAGAGATATCAAGGCTTGTGGGCTCCACATCGCAAGTCTTTCTCTTTTTTTTTTTTCAATTTGTTGTACTGTTTTTCTTTTTCAAAAAATCCTTGCTTTCTGTCCTGAGACTTTCTGATGAACAATGTTTCTGATAAGAAAATTCATAAATTTAGTCTCTGGGGATAGAAATATAAACAGAGTTTCATTGTCACGTCCCTCCCCTATCAGGATATGGGCGTCACTGTGCCTTTTCGTCTGCTATTCTGTTGATAAATGTATATATATATACTCCAGTCTGATAAAATTTTCTCCATCTTGTATAATGGGTAAATACATTTGAGAAGATCAAACAATCTAAGAATAGTAAAACATTACAAAGAATATTGCTCGAAAGAGATATAAAGTAACTTTAATTAATTCAAAAATTATAAAATGAATTAAATAAAATTTAGCAAAAAATCTGATAACATAGATTTATGACACTAAAATTCAAAAATATTAGCTTATTACGGTAAAATGAGTAGAAATTTCCAAAATTTAAATTACATCATTAAATGCATAAATATTTTATATTTTAGCAAAAATTATAATATAAATTTTTGTACATGTGTGTTAGCTTGTTAGGGTTGGTATATATATATCATAATATTTTGCTAGAACTAAATTGTCTCTATTTCGTTAGTTTAGGGTTGAGTTTTGGCTGGTTAAAACATGATCGGTCGACCTGAATATATTTTAAACCTAGATCATATAATATAATACGGTTTCAGACTAATTGACTATGTATCACTAAATGCAATACTTCCAGAACCAACCGGATCAACCAATTGATTATATAAAAACATCATATGTACATCAGTGTTTTGAAAAATATGTCACTGCAGGTTGTGTTTGATGTTCAAAGTATTTAATCAGCTGCAAAATAGGATTCGAAAAAGATAAAATATTTAAATTATAGCTAATTGCATAGATGATGGTAAGTTTCAACAAGATTGGGGAAATTCCATACTGTAAAAAATTTTATTGATGAATTTGAGGGATTCTCTTTTTATATAATCCTACGCTATTCTCAAACATGAATTGTAACATGTTGTTTACAATCAAATTAAATGCTTTATTAGTCCTTTTTCAAAAAAAAAAATGCTTGTAGTTCTTTTTTCTAAATAAGCTTGTATTAGTTGTGGCGTGCAAGTCGTAGGCCAAAGCCATCACGTAGAAAAATTCGTTGCATGAATTATCCACATATTATTTATTGTATTTTGGTAAAATGGATACATATTATTTGTTTATTGTTCTATTACTACGTTATGATGAACCTCACATAGTTCATAGAGTTGCATTACAATAAAAAAAAGTATTAATTAGCTCATCTCTTTGTTGATGTGCCTACTAACGGTCGGGTCAATTCAAATAGATAGATCACACGTTCTGTATAATGGCACGATAATATTAAAAACATATTATAATCGTTTGGTTTGAATTTACTATTAATTAAAGTGTGCTTCTTATTTGTTTGTTTATGACAATATACTTCCATTTGACACAACATTTAATTCATACATTTTAATGTACTATGCTTTCACAATTTAAATGATTTTAGAGATTGTTGCTTCTACTTACATACTAATTTACATATGAAATTGATCTTTTGTAAGTATTAATAATAGCTGAGGCTTCTTTTTCATTATGATTACGTCATATACGAATATTAAAACATATACGACCTTCATAATCTTGTATCTCTAGTTTATAAAATATCGTAAAACTAATGTTCAAGTCTACACACATGTTAACAGATTTGGGTCGTAGTTAGTATCTATTAGACGACGTGTTCACGACCAATGTTTTTGTGGGTGGATCAATAATTGAAGACGTAGACCTTCCCATGAACGCAGTTCATGCAAGTCTCTACCGTTCCAAGCAATAATTATTGAGTCTCTTAAATAAATTCCATTACATTATGATTAGGATATATGTATGTATTTATGCTAAAAGCCTTCGGTACACGGCTTAAGTTTTTGTTTATAAGGAAAACGAATAAGCTAGACGTGGCTGAATTTGCAAAAGGGTTTGACTACTAAACGTGTAATCTGAATTTCAGTTATAGTAGATGTATTACATTTGGTTTTCTTTTTTCTTTTTTCTTTTTTCTCTTTGTGTCTCTTATATAGATTACTTTTGTCAAAATCACAATCGGACAAAGCTTTTGTAATGAACTAGTGCATAGCCCTAACTCGAATCTTGAGAAGATTAGATGGTTATAAAATGTAGTAAGGTGTGAAATCAACATTAGGCAACTATCTTGTTATTGACACCATATGTTTTTTTGGGAGTCACAAAACCAACTCAATGATATGTGTTGTTTTCATGGTACACCGAATGATGTTCGATGTTTCCCTCGTTGCTTCCCAAGTCGGTCCAAAAGACAGTTTTGTATTTACATGTTCACTCCCCCACGTGTCTTCACGTGATATTTAACCTACGGTCATGATTCCTTCGACCACTCCATTTTCACACGAGTCATCCACGGCTCCAAATTAGCGCGTCTCCAACACCCGCACTTCAAATTTAGAAAGTGGCCCATCATCGTCATGAAACCATGATTAGGTTAAAAAATGAAAACATACGCTTTAGAATTTTTTAATTTCTTAATTGAGGAAGAAAACTGGGCTTAACCAAAAAGAGTAACGTCAAATGAGTCCTCTCAGTTATGGAGCTTAATTGTACTATAATTACCTTTAATGTCAAACTGTAGAAAAGTACGTGTTATATAGTAAAATGTATACTGTATGCACGGCAGAAACATACAACGTATGCGGCCGAATGGTAAGGTACATGTACTTATGATAATTCAACATCAACATGCATGATTGACTTTTTGGTATAGTAAAATGTAATAAGAGATATGGAACTTACTATTACCAAAAAAATAAATTACAATGTAGTACGATGGATTAGTTTGCAATGCATAGAGAGTAAAACAAAGGTGTGAACTGATATCCTTTTGTCTATGTGGGTTTGTGGCTGCTCTGCTCAGAGTTCTGAACTATTACTATTGTATATGCATTATTGCCTATTGGTCCAACCCCCAACCAGCCATCTATGATTGTGAAACATGTTATATTTTGAATATATTTTTTATATTTATTTGCAAATAAAAGGGTGTGAACGGTGTTTACTATAGACAAGTATAAAGATACGTATATATGTCATGTGTTCAAAAAGAATAACATAGAAACCCATCACCTCCAAAAATGTAAAGAGGTAGAATGTTACTTGATGATTATTGATTGGACTTCTTGGAAGTTAATTGTTTTGATGTTTCGGACTATAGCAATGAATTGTAATGTTTCATTGTCATTGAATCTAGTGACAAATAAGATACTTCAAATTAAAGCATGTGAACTTCATGGAAACATTTTCTTGTTGCAAACAGTTTTTACATACAAAAAGATCATTATAATGCACAGTTTTACTATGTCCAGTGCACAATTCACAAATAGTAAATACTATAGATTTCAACATTTAGATAATAGTACATATTAGAAGATGGAAAATCATGTGAATATCGTTTGGTCCAGAATCAAACAAATAAACAAACTTATAGGGACCGACAATTATATAGAGGGTGTGAAAAGAATTAACTACAGAGAGACCATCCAGTTTAGCTCTCTTCTTTAAATATTAACACTCCATGTCGACAAAAACTGCACGTTATGCTCCAAAGTTTAAACACAAAAGATTAATTAAAAACTCCAAAAGTTAATCTTGCTAATTCTACTAAACTAATCCTCATTGATGTTCATTTCTGATGGCTCTTTATTAATGCATTGACAGTATTGTCTCCTCGTGGCTGCTTCTATTTGAATTCAAAAGTTGTCTTCTAATCATTCTCATGATTGTTTACAAAATATATTCACCTTTTTCTTGAGTCTCTCTGCTCTATATACCAAGGAAGCTTTGATGAAAGCTAGAAACCAAACCGGTTAGAACCAGAAGTAAACCAACATTTTGCAGAGTTGAAGTGATTCAGATTTGTTATTACATTTTATTTACTTTGGTAAAGACTCAAATAGAAATCACAACGAGTGGAAACCATCAAAGTAAAGATTCACTGAACATTTTAGTTTCAAGAACTACTTTCTCCTGACTGCGACTCGGTAAGCTTAGTGCTGAAGTCCCAAACCTTCTTGGCCAATTCTGAATTTTTAGCAAGTGATGTTGGTTTAGCAATGTTACTATCCAAGAAGTATTCCCCTGTAACTCCTGTAACCTGAGGATTCAATGCCACGTAGCAAGTCGTTGCCGCCCCCTACAAAGTCAAAGACATGACAAACCGAATCAACACCGGTTCATCTTTAACCAGCACCAAATCTCTCCTACAATGTAGCTTAACCGGAAAGACCTTGTGACCGGTTTATAATTCATTGGTTGTTAGTGTTAGATTTAGAACTTAGAAGCATACCTGAGGAACAGTCTTGAGCACATATTTAGCCACTGCACCAACAGCTCCTGCATCAAGCCAGTGAGAGAGAGAGGATCAGAAGCAAATCAAAAGTAATGAACCTGGAATCAGAAGAAAAGAAGTTACCAGCCAAATAGCTGTTGAAGTAGCGGGGAAGATTAGTCATAATAGCTCCTGGATGAAGTGAATTTGCAGTTATATTGACTCCATCTTCCTGTTTTACATTAAAGAATTAAGATAAATCACTGAAACGTAGATTCTTGATTTGAAGATATTGTAGTTACCTTCAGTTGCTTTGAAAGCTCGTTGGCGTGCAATACATTGCAGAGTTTAGATTGTCCATAAGCTCGGAAACTATTGTAACTGAAGTGGAGACAAAACCAAGAAAAAATGTTACATTTTGAAATAAGGCTTAATATTTAGTTCTACCATTAGTACCTTGACTTGTCGTTGATCTTATCAAAGCGGACTCCTTCTGGATACGTGTACCGATGAGCCTCTGATGATAGATTCACAATCCTTCCTTCTCTTTTGCTCTCACGTGATGTGTTCTTCATTGTATCTAGCAGAAGCTTTGTCAACAGAAAATGACCTGAAACATAATTGGATCAGAGACTATTAACTTAGGACAGACAGTGTCATAATCTTGGTTTTGTTATCTTACTCACCTATATGGTTGGTTGCAAATTGAAGCTCGATGTTGTCCTTAGAGAGCATAAAGGGACATGCCATTATCCCAGCGTTGTTGCTTACAAGATTGAGAGAATTCAAAAACATTAACGAATAAGTTAATTCAAAACTGCTAACATGGTGTTTTGGATAAGCTTACATCAAGAGGTTGAGAGGACGACCAGATGATTTGTAATCAGATGCAAACTTCCTGACAGAGTCCATTGAGCTGAGATCCAACTCCATGACATCTAGTTTAGCTCCAGGGACACGGTTGACAATATCCTCTTTAACTTTAGCACCAGAGCCAGTGTTCCTCACCGCCATAACCACGTGGACACCACGCAGTGCAAGAACACGCGCTGTCTCTACTCCAATACCACTCGATGCTCCTGAAAACATTAAACACAAAACAAAAGACAACCTGAGAAACTAAACAGGTCCAGCAAACTCAATGCAGAATAACAAACTAAACTAATTATACCAATTATGACCAACTAAAGAACTCATTAGACCAAGAAAAGAAGCAATAGTTCACATTTAAGACTGGCTCAATCGATACTGCTAGACTCTAATTTAGCAGAAAGGATTAGACTGTTCTTGATTCAAGGACTTGTTTTTTTTTCTTTTTGTCCCTGATAATGTTATGAATAAGCTGAAACAGAGACGATAGTATATGTAAGTTATTACAAGCACATGGTTGTTTTTGCAGATCTGAAGTTAACTTCCATTTCAGGCAAATGGTCCCAAGTACGTTTTACATTGAACTCACCAAAAAAAGAAAAAAGAAGACAACTTTAAAACAAAGACAGAACTAAAAGTAGACCTGGACTCAGGTATACCAAAGTGTATAAACAATAAATCTTTTTAGCCTACGAGTGAAAATCAATTCTGAGACAGAATCACAGAAGATCTAACTTGGGGAAAGTCAACAGCTTTAGACAAAACACAAGTCAGTGTGTGAAAGTTTAGATAGAGAAAGAAAGAAAGAAAGAAAGAACCAGTGACAATGGCAGTGAGGCCAGTTCCGTCAACTCCATGTGTGACTTCTTCTGCTGTGGAACGAGCAGAGAATCCAGATGCTCCTTTCGATCCGAAAAACCACATTATATTTTTCTCTCTGGAAAGTCCAGAAGATGGAGATAATTATCAATAAGAAGATCAATAATAAAAAAACTGCCACAGAGAGGAAGTTGTTAACGTTTTCTTCTCGAGTGGTCGAGAAAGTTTCGCTTTTGTTTATAATTTAATTTAGTAACGTTTTGTTCATATGTGAAATGTGATTTACTTTTTACTTTTTAGTAAAAGGAAGATAAGAAAGCGATGAGAAGATAGAGAAGATAAGAAATGTGCAAATCCCAGTCGATGAGCGCTTACGTCACATCACACCTTTTGGAACCAAAGAAGTCAAAAGTTTCCATTTGTAACGACTTTACAAATGTTTCCCAACCGTTCATACCTTTAGATTAACTTGGACAGTGGCTAGGGTCGCTCTGACTTTATTTACTGACCAAAGGCAATGAGACTGTTCTAGTCAACTTTTACTATATGGAACAGAACAACATATGAAACATCCCATGTCAGTATTTCGGTTCGTTAATACTAATCAGAGAGCTCATCAAAGCTTTTAGATTTAAGTGAGACAAAAAAAAAGAATGAAGAAACTAGAGTTTCACTGAACATCCTGGAACTTAATTTGTTCTCTCTTACTGTGAGCACCCTTCCTCTATCGTAGAACTTATGAATAAGCAGAAACATCTATCAGAAAATGAAGACTACTTAGCATTTTGCAGCCAAGCCGGTGAATTTGACTATTGCCTTCAGTGCCTGAGCAATAACGAGTGCCATTACAATGCACAAAAATTGGACTATGAATATTGGTAGGGGCCGCGCGTACGCATGCCCCAACAACAAATTATGACGCAGGCACTCCCACTTGGAGAGACCTTAAGCTAAGCACCCCTCCGTTATGTGCAATGGAGGTCACTAGCTTAGGCCTATCGTTTTCTAGATCACAAGTCGACCCCGTCTAGGTAAGTATTTTTCAATGTCCTACCTTCGTCTTCTTTTATACTACGCGAAAGAGGACGAGCTCTAAGTTTATCATACCGATATGGGCCTGAACTTAAAGCCCTTTTTAATGACTAAATCTGGCCCAAATAGAACCCATTTGATTATGTTCTACTCGACTCCTCATGATCATTGTCTTATCCAATATGCTAAATTAAACATGTTGCGGTATAACGATTTCATTTAACTTCCATAGAAAAAGTTAGCTCTTGATTTTGTTTTTCTTTTCAACGTTGTTGACATTGTTCATCATCTCTTAGCTTATCTGATTCTTTTCAACAAAAAGTAGCAATTTTATTAACAGAAACAGGCGCTCTGTACAAATATGTATTTATAAATTATGACGCAGGCTCTCCCACTTGGGGTGACCTTAAGCTAAGCACCCCTCCGTTATGTGCAATGGAGGTCACTAGCTTAGCCCAATCGTTTTCTAGATCACAAGTCGACCCCGTCTAGGTAAGTATATTTCAATGTCCTACCTTCGTCTTCTTTTATACTACGCGAAAGAGGACGAGCTCTAAGTTTATCATACCGATATGGGCCTGAACTTAAAGCCCTTTTTAATGACTAAATCTGGCCCAAATAGAACCCATTTGATTATGTTCTACTCGATTCCTCATGATCATTGTCTTATCCAATATGCTAAATTAAACATGTTGCAGTATAACGATTTCATTTAACTTCCATAGAAAAAGTTAGCTCTTGATTTTGTTTTTCTTTTCAACGTTGTTGACATTGTTCATCATCTCTTAGCTTATCTGATTCTTTTCAACAAAAAGTAGCAATTTTATTAACAGAAACAGGCGCTCTGTACAAATATGTATTTATAAATTAGACGCCATGAGTTCATTCAAAAACTTGAAAACATTTCATAAATATATATTTTAGTAATACCGATCTCTACCATGCCACCATCTCGACCTACATACATTTCACGAAAAGAAAAAAAATTCATTAGTTGCATTAGAAAAGTAAAAGAAAACTATCAATCATATATGAAAGCACTTTCAATAAAATAAATAAAGAATTACTTTTAAATATTATTTTTTAATTTATCTAGAGAGTAAATAATAAACAATTGATCTCACCAGGACTGTTCCCAACCGGGTCGAGACTTGGCCATGCCGTAACGTCCGTAAGGAAAACCATAATGTTGAGGGCGTTTCGCGTTTTTAAACGCGCAGCAACCAACGCAGTAAATGGCAATGAGGAAGAGAACTATGACGACGTTAACTATAGAGAGTTTATGCCAATCGCGCCGCACCGTCTCTAAAACGCCAGCTCTACACGAGTCACAGTCGTAGCAGAGCACCGTTGCAGCGTTGTTCCACCGGTAACAATCGGATTCTTGTTGTATCGGCGTATCCGTGTTGTATACACACGACGTCGGTGGTTTACAGCATCCAGACTATATATTCCCAATATACAATATATTTATTTATATCTTTGATTTAATATGAACACATTTATATCAGTTCAAAAAAAAATATGAACACATTTATATACTTATGAACTTGTATATCGAATTAATACTGTAGTCTACGTATTTCATCTATTTAATTATTCTTTCGAGAAGTTCAAACTACTAAGTTGGTAAAATCAGAAATTTAAACTATAAATTACCAGTCAAACAGGTTACTTATTAGTTATTACACAACACAGATTAGAAGGAGTACCTGAAGAGGAGACAAGTCTTTTTGGAGATAATCAATAGGAGTCCAAAGAGCGAGCTTGGAACAAGTGAGTGAGCCCAAGAGACAAGTCTTTATTGTCAACCAGTAATTAGCATCCATAACCCTTGTCTTGAGCCATGGATGATACTCTTCAAGCTTAAACTCTCTGTAAACCCTACCAGGCACACCTACACCACCGCCATGGCTAGTTACAATAAGCCCAAAGAGGGTCAAACCCATGAGCGTAACTATGATGAAGACCATGAAAAAGAGGTACACCCACAAGACCCATGCCACGTCACAGCATGCACCGATCAGACCAGCTAGTGATAAGACCATGATCGCCAGGCCTAAGACGAGAAGTGGCTTCTGAAGGAAATGCTCGCATGTTGTCTTGCTCTTACCCATCCATAGAGCTGTTCCTATTATGACTATGGAGGAAATTAGTGTTAGGATATTCAAGAATCCTATTACTGTATTGCTCATTCTGTTCATTTTTCTTCTCTCTTTTTGGTTACTCTAAGCCTTTGATTCTTTAAATCTTTTGTATGTGTGTGTATATGAGCACTCTAACTGGACATGTCCTCTCTATATCTTACTCACATATGTTAGCTACTTTATAATTGAGATTTTTAATATAAAATGATTCACACATATGATTGAACATAGAAATAGAAAAACATATGAAGAATAAAAGTTGATGAAATTATTCTCCCATCTTTTTTTGGTGTTTCCTACTTTTTATGTGATAATGTATGCGTCTTCACTTGCTTTTATTTCATCGCTTTTGAATCTTAGTGGCTCTATCTTTTATAAAATGTTAACATTTAAAATTTTAAAATATTCTTTTTATTCTTCCGTAGATGTGGATGTTTGAAACTTTATATGATATCAATTCAAAATTTTGGTTGAGAGTCTTTTTCAAATAGGCTTTATATTTTCTGGTTGGAACTTGGCTATTAAGAAACCTTCACTCAGTTCGACTATCGATAAAAAGAGCCCATACTTCACGAAGTGGGACAATCATACGCCAAACTTCTTAACCATTAAGTAACTTTTCCCTCCTAACTTTTATATTAATTATGTTGATGGATAAATTGAATATACGTCACAACAATAATTTAATCTTTGAACATAGAAGATAAAACTTTGATCACAAACAATAATATCATTTATCAGCTATAATTACTTCATAATTTTTTTTGGGGCTAAAATACTTTATATATAATTTCTTTGAATTGCAGGATATTGTTTAGCTGTTTAGCATTATACATTTTGAGATGTACAAGAAAAATTATAAAAATATAAAGTCTTAAAAAGGATGTATATAACAATGAAGCTGAAACAAACAACAAAATCAAATTCGTGTTCTTATGTCAATACTTTTGATATATTTTACTTTCACTTTTTTTTTTATTAATGGTTTTAAGGTTAGTCTAATAGCACTGCGTTGGTCTTAGATGCGTACATTTTAAATCACATTTAATTACAATGATCTTTAACAGACCAAACAAGGTGATATATTTGATTGTATGGTAATGTGGATGGAGAACCTTGGTTAAGAAGTCTTTATTATGGAGGTCCTGCTGGATGCATAGGGACATGAAAAGAGCTTACAGTTGTTATATGACTTGTGGGTGTCATGCAAATCAAAGTATTAGATAATGGAGCCCAAAGCCACATTTGGATTTTTATAATCTTGTTGGGCAGAATTTTTTTTCAAAGTCTTTCTATTACCATTCTAAAGTCGTGTTTCTGAGGATTTTAACATGTTTATTGAAAGTGGGAGTAGTAGTCAAGTTAGATTCCATTCATATAGTGGACAAAGAAAGTTAGATCAACGGAAATCAACAGCATTCTAGTTTGTCACTTGTCAACATACGAAACAAACGTTTTAACACATATAACCTTGTGTTACAAAAAGAAAACCAACAGTTGTAAGTGATCCAAAGTGCGTGAAAGCTGCTGACTTGTCATGGAGGACGGAGAAGCTTGTTAACAGCCGTGTCAAGAACATCCACATTTCTCCTCAGGTGCTTTCTGCAGATTGGTTTAATCAAGGATTCTAGAAACAATGACTAAAACCACAAGTAAGAAAAGCTAAAAATGGCATGTCTTTGTTTCTGTGTTCAACATTCAGACACTGTCACACAAGGTTGACACGTAAAGAACCATATAAAAGGATACAACCTAGCCGCCAGATTCTCAACGCCTTTAATTTCCTCGTTCAATCTGCATAGATAAACCATACCACAGAAGAAGTCGTTGACAAATCACAATCAAGAACAGCATTTGAAAGACATACGTCAAGAACTGTAAGAAAACAACATATACAGACACATACTCGGTGTTCTCTACGATCAGATAAAGAGTAAAAAAAAAATCAAAGATTATTACAAAAGTACCTGAGGCAAGAGTTGATGTAACGGTTCCCTTTAGTAGAAGCATCTAAAGCTGAAAAATCCATAGAAAACAAACTGAATCTATATCTCCAAGTCCCTAATAATATTACACAAAACACAGAAGTAAACTAAAAAAACAGGTAATGTCTTAATCCCACCAGTTTCCTGAAGCCGTCCTGCTGCATCACCAAAGCAACTCATGTGATCAACCGAACTACTCGTCGCCTATATACCACCACCAATCAAATAAAGTCTCATACGAACAAAGATTACAATCGAATAAGATTTAAAAAAACAGTATTTTTTATGATCATAACAAACATATCAAAGTTCCATCAAACTTTAAACAAAGATTTCATCTTTCCACGTATTCTCTAACCTCAGAGAGAGTTGATCGAAGGGAAACAAAGAGAGACGAGAAACTCTCCGCGATTGCCTTCGAATCCTTCTCCACTGTCGCAAGTGTTTTTAAAATCTCTCCTTGATTCAACTGCGACGACGACTCCGTTCTTACGTCGCTCTTTTGATTCAATCCAGTTTCTTCCGTTGCCGATGAATCGCCATCCACCGGATGATCCACATCAGGTTCAGCTCCGGCGTCCATTTCCCAGGTAGTTAATCCCGGTGGCTACTCGATTGTGGCGTCGTTAAAGACGGCATCTGTTTCTACAATGTTTTAGGAAATTGAAAACTACCCCACTACTCTTATATTATTGCATATATTCTTCAAAATAAAAAAGGTTTCTAAAATGTCACCCGATTAAACAAGTCATTCGATACTAAACGTTAATGAATTATTAATTTATTTTTATATAATTTATAATTATATTAGATATTTTGATTTTTAATTTTTATTATAGAACTATTTTGCTAAACTATAAAATTAAATATACAAAGAAGAATAGATAAGTTTTAGAATTTATATACATTATTGTTTGATTTGACATATTTAAATTAATTTTAATAAATTTAAAATGATTATGACTTTTTTCTTTCTCTGAACCAATAATATGATTATGACTAAATTTTGACTAAAGAGAGTTTTACAGTATGAAAGAAACTCATACTGAATCGGGTAATTATAGACCAAGTCAACCACAAGTCTTAATTCCGTCACATCAATACATAGACAGATCATCTTCCAGAGTCTAAAATATACAATAATCAATGGAATTAGTCAATTGCGTACAGCGGAAAATGACAACTCCGTATACTTATAAAACTATTTAATTTCAAGAATTTAAGTTTCTGATTTCCGACAATCAAACACAAGAGACAAGACCCAAGATGAAAGACTTGTTGTTAGTCGTCTTCTGGATTGTCCTCTTAAACTCTGTTCTTGTTTCTGTTACTTCAGATATATGCTTTGCAAGATACGGTTTTTTCACTCCCAATGGTACTTATGACTTAAACCGACGACTCATGCTCTCTTCACTTCCTTCTAACGTCACAGCTAATAACGGCTTCTACACAACTTCGACCGGACAAGATCCCAACAGAGTATACGGTTTAGGAATGTGTGTCCCAGGTGCTGACGATCGGTCTTGCTCTGACTGTATCATCTCTTCGTCTGCTAGATTGTTAAGGAATTGTACTAACGAGACAGAAGGTATAGACTGGAGAATGGACAGAACACTCTGTCTTGTACGTTACTCGAACCGTTCGTTTTACGGGTCGGTTGGTATAGAGATTCTGCGGAGTGAGAATTATACTAGAGATGTTCAGGCTAACATGACGGATCTTGAGATTACGTGGGAGGGGTTGATGATTGGTTTGATAGATCAAGCTTCCTCTTTGTACTACGCAGCTGGAACAAGAAAGCTTGAGTCGTCTATCTCCCACGTTTACGGTGTTGTGCAGTGTAGTAAAGACGTATCTCTTGAAAACTGCACTCGTTGTCTTCAAGAGAACGTGATTGAGTATAGGTCTTGTTGCCGTGGGAAGCAAGGAGGCATTATTTCTAGGCCTAGCTGTTTTGTTCGGTGGGAGATTTATCCGTTCTTGGACCTTTTCGATAATATTACTCCTGAGAAAGGTAAGACCATGTGTTTGTAATCTTTGATGTTGTTAGATCGAATGATTAAATCCTTATCTAACCTTGTTTGTGGGGTTTCTGCTCTGTTCTTGGTTATGAGCCAATGTGTTTCCTTCATTGGTGGTTTTGGTTAGTGCAGATGGTAAAAAGATTTCTACAGGAACTATTGTGGCAATTGTCGTTGCTCCCGTCGTAGTGATTGCTCTTGGATTTGCTCTTTGGAGGAGGAGAGAAGCATTCAAAGCATTTACAACTGATTGTGAGTTTCCTTAAGTTCCAAAATGTTTTTTTTTTCTGTCTCTGTGTTCTTCTCACACGGTTACTATTTCTGTGTTACAAGTAGGGCTGGGCATCATTACTCGTTACTCGCCTTAAACTCGGTATTTGACTCGTACCCGCCTTAAAAATTCAAGTACTCGGTGTTGTCAAGGCAAGTAACAAGGCGACAATTTTCATTACTTGCAAGACTAAGTCAAGTATCAAGTATCATTATTATATTTTGTATTTGACTCGTTCCGCCCCGCTACTTGTTCCATTACTTGCTATTTGTTATATAATCTATTAATTAGTTTTTCATATTTGTCTTTTCTTTTACTTGCATTTAGGACTAGACATATATACACACTACTCTTCTTATATTTGTTACTTATTTTGTATCCAATCTTGATCTTTGAATACTCGTCGTTATCTAGTCAAGTATTACACAACAACAAATATTAAAAATTTAGTAATATGATTTGTTATTATTTGTTAGTTATTTAGAGAAGATATTCTTGTTATCGTGATCATTATACAATGTTTATATACCATAATATGCATTTTTTAATTTATCTTTTTTATAATATAAACAAATATTCTATTTAAAGTAATTTACATGTTACTTTAAGTAAAATAAACAAAACAAATTTTCATGTCTATTTCTAACAGAATGTTATTTAGTTAGTAGTTCTTAAATATTCTGAAAAAGCTCGTAAATAGTGCACAAGTACTCGTAAATAGTAAGTAATAAAGCAAGGCAAGTAACTTGCAAGTCGTTTATTTTTCATCAAGTACTCGAAATAGTAAGTACTCGTTTTAAACAAGTCAAGTACAAGTCGAAAATTTTATTATTCATACAAGGCAAGTCAAGTCGCGAGTACATGCAAAATAGCAAGTACCCGCCTTGCGCCCACCCCTAGTTACAAGGAGATTTTGGAAGACTAATTTTATAATGGTAAAGGGCTACGGATTTGAGAGAGAAATTTATTTAGTATAACGCTATGTATACATTTGATCTGCAGATGTGGACGATATTAACTCTTCAGGTTCACTTCAATACGAGTTTAAAGCTATTGAAGCTGCCACAAGTAATTTTCATAATAATAACAAGCTTGGTCATGGTGGATTTGGTGAAGTTTACCAGGTATAATATTTTTTCCCATGTACTTATTTATGTTACAAAGTCTGTACAAAAGAACAAAACAGATTCCGGTAATCAAGTCAAGAAGATCATACGAATTGACAGGGAACGTTTCCAAGTGGAGCACAAGTTGCTGTAAAGAGGCTGACTAAAACGTCAGGACAAGGTGAAGAGGAGTTCAAGAACGAGGTGTTTCTTGTAGCAAAGCTTCAACATAAGAATCTTGTTAGGCTTCTTGGCTTTTCTGTCAAAGGACAAGAGAAGATATTAGTCTACGAGTTTTTGCCTAACAAAAGTCTCGACCAATTCCTTTTTGGTAAGAAACATATGATAAGCAATGAGGAGTTGGCCTATTGCTTAAAACTCTTGATTTTCTAGTAGAGATTTAAAGGGTCATCATAAGTTCAATTTCTGTAGGGAAGGGTCTCCAAACAAATGATATGCCCACTTATATTTTTGAAACCTTAGTTCTTGATCTTATAGACTAATCAGTTGGTATATGGGATATGTTCCAGACCCGAGGAAGAGTAGTCAACTGGATTGGACAAGACGATACAACATTATCGAGGGAATTACTCGTGGAATTATGTATCTTCATCAAGATTCACGGCTCACAATTATACATCGGGACCTTAAAGCGGGTAACATTTTGTTAGATGAAGATTTGAACCCAAAGATTGCAGATTTTGGGGTGGCTCGAAATTTTAGTGTGGACCAAACTGAAGCTACCACAGGAAGAGTAGTTGGAACGTTGTAAGTAATTGCTCCTCATAGTAAGTTAACTTGTCTATCAATGTTGTTGTTGATAAAAAAATGTATATTATAGCGGTTACATGTCACCCGAGTATGTGACAAGTGGACAGTTCTCCACAAAATCTGATGTGTATAGCTTTGGAGTATTGGTTTTGGAGATTATTGGTGGAAAAAGTAATAGTAGCTTCAACGAGACAGACGGCTCAATTAGCAACTTGGTCACATATGTTAGTAAAATTTCCATTGCCATCTCAAACTGTTCTACTTGTTTTAGCAATGATCATGGCTGTCAACAGTAATTTCTTTAATCTCTTGAGAAATGACTTGAATAGGTATGGAGGCTTTGGAACAATGAATCACTGCTCGAAATGATAGACCCGGCCATGGGTGAGAATTATGACAGAAGTGAAGTCATTAGGTGTATCCACATTGGATTGTTATGTGTTCAAGAAAATCCTGTAGATCGTCCAACCATGTCTACAATCTTTCGTATGCTCACAAATACTTCAATTACTTTGCATATGCCTCAACCACCTGGATTTGTCTTCAGGATCAAATCCAAGTCAAACCCATTAGCTGAGACATTTCAGTCTGGTCCGTCTACAAGTATATCGACTACGTGTGTTAGTCCTCGTTGAAAGCTAGGCTGATGTTTATGTAAACTCTTTTACAAACTTATTATTGATGAAGATTTATTGATTCAGAATCCCAATATAAGCTAGTCCAGAAGGATGACCTAAGAGGATGACCTAAGAGCATGACCTAATCTCCACGTGGAGGATTTTTTATTTTTTAATTTTTTTTTGTTTGTTTTTTAAAAAATAAAAATAATAATAATAGTGCCATCATAAGCTTCAGCTCCGGCGTCCATTTTCCCGTTAGTTAATTCCGGTGTCTTCTACTTTTTCTTTCCAAAAATTCCGATGTCTTCTACAAGTTTACGAAATTATAAATTCACCCTAATACTCTTTTTTATTCGAGTATATATACATATATATATATATATATTTTTTTTTTTTTATTAGAATATATTACCCTAAATAAAAAAATGCACTCCATTGACCTGGCAGTTATGACCAAAAGTCTCAACACACTGGTCACATCATTGACATAGACTGCTCATCTGCCAAAGTCTTTTAAGATAGAATATTCAATGAAAATTGGTCAACTTCGTACAGCAAAACAAATTTAAAACGAGTATTACATTCAAGAATTTAAAGTTTTAATTCAGACAATCAAACACAAGAGACAATGACCAAGATGGACGACTTGTTGTTAGTCGTCTTCTTGGTTGTCCTCTTAAACTCTGTTCTTGTTTCTGCAGATATATGCTTTGACAGATCTGGCTTTTTCACACCAAACGGTACTTACGACTTAAACCGCCGTCTCATGCTCTCTTCTCTTCCTTCTAACGTCACAGCTCATGACGGCTTCTACACAACGTCGACGGGTCAAGAACCTAACAGAGTGTACGGTCTAGGGATGTGTGCCCCAGGTTCTGACACACGATCTTGCTCTGATTGTATCATCTCTGCGTCTGCTAGATTGTTAAGAAATTGTACTAACCAGATGGAAGGTATAGACTGGAGGATGGACAGAACACTCTGCCTTGTACGTTACTCAAACCGGTCGTTTTATGGGTTGCTTGGCATGGAAGTTCTGCGGAGTGAGAACTATTCGAGAGATTTTCAAGATAACATGACGGATCTGGATACTAAATGGGAGGCTTTGATGATTGGTTTGATAGATCAAGCTTCATCTTTGTACTACGCAGCCGGAACAAGAGAGCTTGAGTCGTCTATCTCCCACGTTTACGGTGTTGTGCAGTGTAGTAGAGATTTGTCTCTTGAAAACTGCACTCATTGTCTGCAACAGGACGTGATTGAGTATAGGTCTTGTTGCCGTGGGAGACAAGGAGGTATTATTTCTAGGCCGAGTTGTTTCATTCGGTGGGAGGTTTATCCGTTCTTGGCACTTTTCGATAATATTCCTCCTCTTGATAAAGGTATGATCATGTCTTGTTATCTTAGTTTTTGTTGGGTCAAATGATTATATCCATATCAAACCTTGTTTTAAGTTTTATACTCTGTTCTTGTTTTGGTGCCAATGGTTTGGTTCGTGCAGATGGTAAACAGATTTCTACGGGAACTATTGTGGCAATTATCGTTGCTCCTGTCGTATTGCTTGCTTTAGGATTTACTCTTTGGAGGAGGAGAAAAGCATACAAAGCATATACAACTGAGTGTGAGTTTCCTTCTGCTTTGGTATGAAGATAATTTCAAAATGTTTTTTTCCCTCTCTATGTTCTTCTCAGACGGTTACCATTTCTGTGTTACAAATAGATTTTGGAAGGCTTATAATGGTAAAGGACTATGGAACTGAGAGAGAAATGTATTTAGTATAAAATTATGTATACATTTGTTCTGCAGCTGTGGACGATATTACAACTTCAGGTTCACTTCAATTCGAGTTTAAAGCTATTGAAGCTGCCACAAGTAATTTTCATAATAATAACAAGCTTGGTCATGGTGGATTTGGTGAAGTTTACCAGGTATAATATTTTCCCATGTACTTATTTGTTTTACAATTGTGTGATGATCATATACGAATTGACAGGGAACGTTACCGAATGGAACACAAGTTGCTGTGAAGAGGCTGTCTAAAAAGTCAGGACAAGGTGAAGAAGAGTTCAAGAACGAGGTGTTTCTTGTAGCAAAGCTTCAACATAAAAATCTTGTTAGGCTTCTTGGGTTTTCTGTCAAAGGAGAAGAAAAGATATTAGTTTACGAGTTTTTACCCAACAAAAGTCTCGATCATTTCCTTTTTGGTAAGAAACATGTGACATATAGGCTTATATTCTCGACATCGTAGTTCTTGATCTCATAGTCTAATCAGTTGATATATGTGCAGACCCGAAAAAGAGTAGTCAACTGGATTGGAGAAGACGATACAACATTATCGAGGGAATTACTCGTGGGATTTTGTATCTTCATCAAGACTCACGGCTCACAATTATACACCGGGACCTTAAAGCGGGTAACATTCTCTTAGATGAGGATTTGAACCCTAAGATTGCAGATTTTGGTGTAGCTAGAAATTTCAGAGTGGACCAAACTGAAGCTACCACAGGAAGAGTGGTTGGAACATTGTAAGTACTTGTCATAGTAAGTGTAAGTTGTCTATCATTGTTGTTGTTGATAAAAAAAAGTTGTATTTTATAGCGGTTACATGCCACCAGAGTATGTGACAAGTGGACAGTTCTCCACGAAATCTGATGTGTATAGTTTTGGAGTATTGATTCTGGAGATTATTGGTGGAAAAAAGAATAGCAGCTTCAACGAGACAGACGGCTCAATAAGCAACTTGGTCACATATGTTAGTAAATTTCAAATGCTTTTCTACATGTTTTAGCAATGATCATGGCTGTCTAACATTATTTCTTGAATAGGTGTGGAGGCTTTGGAACAATGAATCATTGCTAGAAATGATAGACCCAGCCATGGAGGAGAATTATGATAGAAGTGAAGTCATTAGGTGCATCCACATTGGATTGTTATGTGTCCAAGAAAATCCTGTAGATCGTCCAACCATGTCTACAATCTTTCGTATGCTCACAAATACTTCAATTACTTTGCATATGCCTCAACCACCTGGATTTGTTTTCAGGGTCAAATCCAAGTCAAACCCATTAGCTGAGACATTTCAGTCTGGTCCGTCTACAAGTATATCGATTACGTGTGTTAGTCCTCGTTGAAAGCTAGGCTGATGTTTGACATGTATAGTCTTTTGCAAACTTATGATTGATGCCTTATTTATTCAAAAAAACCTAACATAGCTGATCCACAAGGACGACCTAAAGATCTCAAGTTTCTCATGATAATTCAAATTTGTTAATAATGTGCCATTCTCATAGAAGATTAAATATTCGTATTCCTACTTTTTTCCATTTCATACCTGATGACTTTATGGGTAACATTTAAGCTATACAAATCAATTTGAAGAAAATTACAGTAACATCAAATTTACTTGTGGAACAATGGAGTCTGGTTGAGATATATGACAGAAAGATCATCGCCAAACCACGCTTTCTGTTGTTGAAAACATATGCTTGGAAATATACTTTTCTTTTCCCTCGGGCGAAATTGGAGATAAACCTCCCAAATTATCAATGAGTCAATCATCCTCAGATCACTTATATGAATCATGTTGAAGGAAACCAAACTATAAAATAGAGTATCATTAACTTACTTTCCAGGCACAAAAACAACGAAAAAGGGAAACAGCGTAGCTTGGATGAATCCTTTGTTCATTGTCGCTGCGCAATACTTTATGAGTCTTCAATCATATTCAGAACTTCTACGCTGATATATTCTTTTTATGTTTAACGAGGAGCTACACTAGTAATAGACGCATCATCAACGGAACAGAGAGTAGACATATCCATAGCTTGATCTGCTCTCCCTACTTGTTCATGCCTGCTTCGGAAGAAAAATCCAGGTGGTCGAGGTACAGGAAGAGCGATCGAACTAGTAGTGAGCATCTGGACGATGGCTGACATAGTTGGACGATCTTCAGCTTCTTCTTGAACACAAAGTAAAGCAATATGGATACACCTGGTAATTTCGTTTGTTTGATAGTTATCTTGAAAGGACGGATCCACCAGCTCTAACGGCGATCCATTGTTCCATAATCTCCAAGTCTGTTGAACATATAAATAATCTTAATTTTGGTCACTGTTGAATAAAGCAGCAAAAGTTTCAAAGTTTTAGGCTGTATACTTACGTATGTAACCAAATTGCCAGCACTCCCATCCATTTGATAAAGGCTACTGTTCTTCTTGCCGCTTATAATCTCAAGAACTAAAACCCCAAAACTATAAACATCTGATTTCATGGAGAATTGGCCATACATTGCATACTCTGGAGACATGTACCCACTGCCACAAGACTTGAAGGGTAAGTAAACATAAACATGTAGCAGTCTACAGAAGCAATAATGGAAAGACCAAAACTCACTAGGTTCCGACTACTCTTCTTGTATTGGCTTCTGTTTGGTCAATTACAAAAATTCTCGCCATGCCAAAATCGGCAACTTTTGGATTCATATCCGCGTCTAAGAGGATGTTACCCGCTTTAAGGTCACGATGTATGATTGTTAGTCGTGAATCTTGATGAAGATATAGAATCCCTCTAGCGATTCCTCCAACAATCTTGTATCTTTTTTTCCAGTCTAGCTGGCTTTGCATCGTAGCGTCTACTCATGCATATTTAAAATAGTCAAAACAAAGAAAGGAATGCAACTTGAAAAATATTTTTGGGTAAGTATTGAAATGAACTGACCAAAAAGGAAGTAATCAAGGCTTTTGTTGGGCACAAACTCATATACAAGTATTTTTTCTTCTCCTTCCAAACAAAACCCAAGCAGCCTGACCAAATTTCGGTGCTGAAGTTTTGCCACAACAACAACTTCGTTTTCAAACTCTCTTTCACCTTGTCCTGATGTCTTTGATAGCCTCTTAACCGCAACTTGCATTCCACTAGGAAAAGTTCCCTACAAGAGTACATGATTAGTTCATTAAGATTGGCTGTCAAATTAGTCATGAAAATGAAGTACTCAATTGTAGCTCTGTAGATTAAATAATTTGCTAAAATGTCTTTCTTTTTATATGTACATGGTATTTTCAAAGTTGTGTTTCTTGAATATAAGTGTAAAGAACTCATTTTCCAGAACACACTATATGTATTACTTTTTAACTAATTGAGTAGTACCTTGTAGACTTCGCCGAATCCACCTTGACCAAGCTTGTTAGTAAGTGAAAACTTATCAGTTGCTGCTTCTATTGCCTTAAAATCAAACTGAAGTGAGCCTGCAGGTGTAATATCGTCTCCATCTGTAGAAACAACTTCGACAGCTTAATTAAGGAAAATGACACACAAGGATATTCATACGAACTGAGAAGGCCTTTACCAGCTAGTGGTTCAGTTTCATAAGCTGTCGATTTTCTCTTAGCCCGGAAACTGAAAACAGCTACGAGAATCAGAAAAATAACACTGACTGGAACAACAACAGCAACGACTATGACAGAGGAGTTTCCGCCTTCTCCTGTATTGACATAAATAAATATTTATCTTAAATGTGGTAAAGAAAAGTTGAGCTGAAAACATGGGTACTAAAAAGTAACAGAGAAGGTTCAGACCAGGCTGTGGTGAAGGAATTGAAATTGGCGGTGAATCTAGTCGAGGTGGAGGAGCTGAATCGAGCTGAGGTTGGGGTGCTCCAATGTTGGATTCGTTGTAAAACTGGTAAAGCTCGTATCTTGAATCGCAGCTCGGCACAATAATTCTTCCTCCCATTCTGTCAAAAGGCAATTCATTGATGGTCTGATTTAGACAGCGGAAACAGTCTTGGCTCGTCAGATCATGAGTGCACTGAACCATCCCGTACAAATTAGTCTGTAACGCGGTGAAGTTGGCCTTTCGGGTAGCGAATTTCTGAGGACTGTTCGATGCATCGATGGCTGCTTGGTTCATAGTAGACAAGACCACATCTCTGAACACAATTTGGTTCAATGTAATGTTCCAGGGGTTAGGCCTGCTAAATCCTCCATTAGTGTTAAGGGTCGAGAGAATATTCCGGTTAGAGTATCTGAGCATACACTCGTCATAATAGAGCGTCACCTCTCTCTGGTTCGGACACAGATATAACGTGTCGTTGACGGCAAAGGCAACGCAGCTGCTGCAAACTTCTGACGAGACGTCTCCGCGGCAAAGGAAAAGTCCGGTGACTCTGTCAGGAGCTTGCCCGGCGGTGTCGTTTCGGAATCCAGTGAGGTAGGAGTTGAAGGGGGAAGAGAAAGTGGACAAAAGAGTTCTGAGATTGGTGGAGTACACGCTGTTTCTTGAATATGTTGTCGTGTTCGAACAGACATGGTATAGGTAAGTGGGATCGAGAATCGAAACTCTGAAGAAAGTGTACCTGAGCGTACACTGATTGTAATAGATCATGACCTCTTTCTCATTGGGACACCGATTTAAGATGTCTTTCACGGCAAAGGCAACACAGCTACGGCAAAGTTCAGGCGTGACGTCGCCACCGCAAGAGAAAAGTCCGATGACTCTCTCGGGAGGGTCGCCGACGGTGGCGTTCTGGTATCTAGTGGCGTAGGAGGCGTTGGGAGAAGAGAGAATAGACAAAAGGGTTCTGAGATTGGTGAATGAATGACTGTTCTTTGAATAAGTTGTCGTATTCTGACAGCTGTGGTATACGTATCTGGGATCTTGAGCAGAAGCTCTGAAACTTGTGAGAAAAGAACAAAGGAAGATGAAGATGAAGATGAAGATGAAGATGAAAGAGTTGCGAGAAGACATAATTGCTTTTCCTCAGATTTGCGTCTTTCATCACCGCGTATTTATACGAACATATATTGATCTCTATTGTCTGTAATAGATTAACGTGAAACAGAGGATGGTTTCTTGACGAAAAGTCTACCCCAGAATAAACGATCTTGTATTGCTTTTCGTTGCTGAGTAGGAGAACTCAAGGTTGCGAGTAAGCTGAAAAGTAAGAGAGAAGAACCAAACAGAAACAGACATTTATCACTTCTTAACGATCTTAAGGCATAGAATAATATTCCATGCACGTCAACGTCAACGAATTACTCAAGCGATTATTATAACTCAATTAATTACCATTTTGATTGGTTAACAATCATTGGTCAGATTTTCTTCTCGCTATCCATTCTTGTGAGCAGTTAGAGCACCCCCATCAAGGGTTCAGATGGGGTTCACACGGTTTTCAAAAAAAAAAAAAATTAAAATAAGGAATAGTGATGAACCTGCCTCTTGCAGATTCTCTGCGGTGAACCCGGTTCATCACTGTAGCGCGAGTCTTGGGACACGTGGCGACCCGCGGTTGGTCAATTTTTAAAAAAAAAAAAAAAAAAAATCAAAAAGAAAATCAAAATTTTTTAATAATAAACAATTGAATTAATGAACCCCAAGAGGGGTTCATTGATGTGGAGGCTCTTAGAGCATCTCCAATGGTGTTACCACCATTGGAGTCCTTAGCCTTTTTTTTTTTTTTTTTTTAATTAGTTAAGGATCTTAGTCAAAAATAGTTGTCCAATGGTGTTACTCAATTAAGAGTTTTTAAAAATTAAAAAATAATAAATTATAAAACTTATGAAATTTTTGTTTGTAGAAGAGAAATAATAGAAACACCTTAAAATGCAAGTATGCAACAAACATATGGCATTGTCATTGTTTGGTTCTTCCAATGGCCGACCAGCCATCCATCTCTCTAACCAGCTCCAACCCCATGTAGGATTGCTTGGATCCATGAACATTGGGTTTCCAGATTTAGAATTTTTCTTCCAGTTTTGCTGCAAAACATGAACATAAATGATCATCAGCACATCATTTTGAAGGAATCACAGTTTCAAACTCTAAAGTATATGTTCACTTTTTAGTTACCTGATGAGAGTAAGCATAAGCCAATGCCTTTTCCCTTCTCATTGTTGCCTCGTACTTGCTCAGCAAATTAGCTTCAACTTTCTCCTTTGATTGGCTGCTATCATCCCAATTATCCCCGTTCTAAGAGCAGCCCAGTAAAAAAAAAAAAGAGAATCTATTAGCATAAGTCAACAAAACTCAAAGATTTCCATTCTCAAGTAGAAAAGAATACACAGCAGTTTTAATATAGATAGCCAAAGTAGCCATCAGTTTTAATATATAAAGATGTCATGCAAAGATCCCATTGTTGCAAACTCATATGCAAGGACACAGAGGTTTCCATCAACACAAAAACCAAGCAACTGAATGAGATTCTCATGTTTCAGTCTAGATCCCTCGCCAATCAGAGCCTTTGATCCGAAATTATCAATCTTTTCCTTCACCTCATCCAAAGACAAGGGAGGAACCTGGACGGGAAGAGCTTCCTTCTGCACCTCATGCTTCACAACAGCTCCTGGTTTTGGAACCTTATGATTCGCTACATACATGAAGACACTCACACTCACCACCAGTCACTAAAATGTTCAAACTCATTTCTTTTGGTGGCATGTAGATAACAACAACATACCATCGGATTGCTGCTGCTGAGAAATTTTCAAGTGCTCCTCTTCATTGGAGTCTTGTATCTGACATGTACAACAGATCCACTTGCGCATCCTTGTTCATATCTCGTTGTTCTTGAGTATCCATTTCAGAACCTGGAAAGAAGAAAACGTATAAGTGAAATCGTTCCATCGAGTTTTAACATATCAAATCCAGACAATAAGAACAAAGAAACACATCTAATAGACCAAAAAAAGCAAACGCAGACGAAAACCCTAATTCGATTCAAAATCCCCAAATCGTTTTGAAACCCTAAATCTATCTAAACCACACAATCGAACCGTATAAACATATGAAATCAACATGCATCAAGTCTAGATGCAAAAAGAATGAATCAAGAGTCTCCGATTTACCTTCTTACCGACGATCCTCCAAATCGCCTTTGGTCTCGCCGCTGCCTTTTTTTTTATTTTGTGTTTCTTGAATGAGCGTGTTTTTTTTTCTCACGGCCCATACCCCCCAAAAAAATGCCAGCTCATTAAGGATTGGATCCTTAAAGCCCTTAACCAAGGACTCTTTCTTAACAAAAACGAGATTATATTATTATTTAAATGCTAATGGGTTAAGGATCATCTTTAAGGATTCACTACAAGCCCGCGTTGCGGCTGCTCTTAGGCCCAAAACAATCGTAAGTTCCCCTTTCACTCTTGATAAAATTAGGATTTTACGTCATCCACCGCCGCATACAAGTTATGTCCCTTACACGCCCCTCTAGGTTTACTTATCATCTCATCTTCTTAATACTTTGTTTACTAAGGACATGATTATTGCAAGTTTCTTGTGATTGTTTTTTAATACACATATATGTGTATGTATATATTATATATGTGTATTAAGAAACAATCACAAGAAACTTGCAATAATGTTGCTCTAACTTATTTATTTGATTTGTCTTTGCTTAGCTTCCGTTAGAATAAATATAATAATTATTTAGTTTTTTTTTTATTATTTAGATAACTTATTAGGAATTTATAGTTTTTTTATATAGTCTTTTAGACTAAGAGATTATGTTGTCGATGATTTGATTAATAAAATGAGTTTTCTCAAAGAAGTTTCTATAAACCACTGAAAAATGTATTCCCAAATCCTAATTTTTTTTGAGAAGAGTATTCTCAAATCTTAAAGATTTTTTGTTTAAGCATGTGAAAAATATTCGCAAAACATTATGTCTGGTTATTGTTTAGAATCAATAAATCTAGTTTTTTCTTTAGAAACTTCTGTTACATCAGTTAGTACGATAATGCCTCTTATAAATAGAATGTCCAACTTTAATTAGTACTAGATTTTGACCCGCGCAACCGCGCGGGTGTTTGTTTTCGTTTATAGTTAGTTATATAAACATTTTGCTTTCACTTGTAAATTGGTATATATTATAGTAATCACATATTTACGATATGTATAGTAAATATTTTTCAAACATAATAATATTATATAATACGTGTTTTAATCAAATAGATTGTTTCAAAATTTTCTATATTATATATGTTTTTCAAACATGTATTTGTTTTTTCTTCTATATTTTATTGTTTGTTAGATTAGTATTTCATTTTTTAGATACAGTAATATAAATGGAGTTTGATTAAATATTAGTATACTTTAATTTGCAAAGATAATATAAACTTCGAAGAAATTTTTGCTAAAAACTAAACTTATAGCTTCATAAATTAATAGTATAAAGAATTTTATTTTAAAAGTTTTTTTTTTACAATTTATTTTTTTAAACAATATAATTTTAAAAATTTACATCAAATAAATTTATCTAGTATTATAGCGTGTAAGTTTTGTTAGAGTATATAAATATTCCATATTACGAATCTGTGATTTTTGTTAATATATTGTAGATGCATTTAACTATTATTGACATATTTCCTTATAAATAATAGAAGATTCTTAAACTTATATCTATTGACATATTTTACGTGATTAAGTTGGAAGGTTTGGGCTAATTTACCAAAACCAAATTGTTAAGCTTATCTTTGTTATTATAAATATAATTTTTCATAATATATAATAATGATAAAATTATTAGAGAGTTAATGTAACATGACTTTCTAGTAATAGTCCATTTTTAAAAAAAAATCACACATGAAGTCAAGTTATGACTTCTGTTTTAATATATAAGAAGAAGATGAGATCCCCATATCAAAACCAGGATTTTGTCAATTGGGCGATAAATGGACAATATTGTAATTAATCGAACAATGAATATATCAACTAGTCCCCACAAGGACAACCTAAACATCTTAAGTCTCTCAGATAATTCAAAATTGTTAACTTCTCATTAATAATGTGCATGGCCATTCTCATAGAAGATTAAGTATTAGTACCTTTTTCCGTTCATATTTGATTCACTGCTGTGGAACAATGGAACAGATCAATTGGAAGAAAACTACAGCAACATCAAATTCACTTGTGGAACAATGGAGTCTTGTTCCCGGGAAATCGTCAGACGCTCTGTTGTTGAAAACATATGCTTGGAAAACATTAACTTGCCAATTTATCAGTGAGTCCATCTCGTGTATACAACTTAGCTTAGAAGAATCTTTGTTCGTTGTCAAACCATAATTCTTCAAGAGTCTTCAATCATATATCATAACTTGTATATTGATGTATGTTTTGTCTTTAACGAGGAGCTACACTAGTAATGGATGCATCATCAATAGAACAGAGAGCAGATATATCCATAGCTGGATCTGCTCTCCTTACTTGTTCATCCATGCTTTGGAAGAAAAATCCAGGTGGTCGAGGTACAGCAAGAGCGATTGAACTAGAAGTGAGCATTTGTACGATTGCTGACATGGTTGGACGATCTTCAGCTTCTTCTTGAACGCAAAGTAAAGCGATATGGATGCATCTGGTAATCTCGTTTGTTTGATAATTATCCTGAAAGGACGGATCTACAAGCTCTAGCGGCGATCCATTGCTCCATAGTCTCCAAGTCTGTTGAACATATTAATAATTATAAATTTAGTCACTGTTGAATACAGCAAATGTTCCAAAGATTTTAGGCTGTATACTTACGTATGTAACCAAATTGCCAGCAATACCATCCATTTGATAGAGGCTCCTGTTCTTCTTGCCGCTTATAATCTCAAGAACTAAAACCCCAAAACTATACACATCTGATTTCATAGAGAATTGGCCATACCTCGCATACTCTGGAGACATGTAACCACTGCCACAATACTTGAATATTAACTTAACATAAACATGTAGCAGTCTACAGAAGCAATAATGACAACACCAAACTTACTAGGTTCCAACTACTCTTCTCGTATTGGCTTCTGTTTGATCTATTCCAAAAATTCTTGCCATTCCAAAATCTGCAACTTTCGGGTTCATGTTAGCGTCCAATAGGATGTTGCCCGCTTTGAGGTCACGATGTATGATTGTAAGTCGTGAATCTTGATGAAGATATAGAATCCCTCTAGCGATTCCTCCAACGATCTTGTATCTTTTTTTCCAGTCTAGCTGGCTTTGCATCATAGAGTCTGCTTATGCATATTCAAAACAATTGGGACAAACAATGGAATGCAATCTGGAAAATATTTTAGGCTAACTATTGAACTCAACTGACCAAAAAGGAAGTAGTCGAGGCTTTTGTTGGGTACAAACTCATAGATAAGTATCTTCTCTTCTCCTTCCAAACAAAACCCAAGCAGTTTTACCAAATTTCTATGCTGAAGCTTTGCCACAACAACAACTTCATTTTCAAATTCTCTTTCACCTTGTCCTGATGTTTTTGATAGCCTCTTTACCGCAACTTGTACTCCACTAGGAAATGTTCCCTACAAGAGTACATTATTTTAAAACTAATAGAACTGGGTGTCAAATTAGTAATGTAAATGAAGTTGTTTTTAAAATTATGTTTCTTGAATATAATTGTAAAAAACTCATGTTTCCATAACACTATCTATTTGTTTTTAAAACGTATCCATTAGATCATTAATACCTTGTAAACTTGGCCAAAACCACCTTGACCGAGTTTGTTGCTTTCAGAAAACTTATCAGTTGCTGCTTCTATTGCCTTAAAATCAAACTGAAGTGAGCCTGCAGTTGTAATATCGTCCCCATCTGTTGAACCAACTTCAACAGCTTAGTTAAGAAAAAGAACACACCAAGGATAATAGTTTGAACTGTGAAGGCCTTTACCAGCTAGTGGTTCAGTTTCATAAGATGTCGTTTTTTTTCTCTTTGCCCAGAAACTGAAAACAGCTACGAGAAGTAGACAAATAACACTGATTGGAACAACAACAGCGATGACTATGGCAGAGGAGTTTCCGCCTTCTCCTGTATTGACATAAATATTTTGCATACCATCACCACATGGGAACCGTTGTTTTATAAAATCTTCAACTTCTTAAAAGAAAAGTAGCGCTTAAAAAACATGCAATAAAAAGGAACAAAGAATGTGCAGACCAGGCTGTGGAGCTGAATCGAGCTGAGGTTGAGATGTTCCAATGTTGGATTCGTTGTAAAACGGGTAAAGCTCGTATCTCGAATTACAGCTCGGCACAAAACTTCTTCCCCCGATTTTGTCAGTAGGCAATTCATTGATGGTCTGATTTAGACATCGGAAACATTCTTGTCTTGTCAGATCAGGAGTGCACTGAACTAGTCCGTACAAAGTCCGGAACTGGAAGGCGGAGGAATTGGCCGTTCTCCCCTCGAATTTCCGGGAACTGCTGGATGCATCGGTAGCTGCTTGGTTCATAGTGGACAAGACCAAATCTCTGAACTCAAATTGGTTCAATGTAATGTTCTGGGGGTTAGGCATGCTAACTCCTCCATTAGTGTTAAGGGTCGAGAGAATATTCCGGTTAGAGTATCTGAGCATACACTCATCGTAATATAACGTCACCTCTTTCTGGTTAGGACACCTAGTAAAGGTGTCGTCGACAGCAAAGGCAACACATCTGGTGCAAACTTCCGTCGAGACGTCTCCTCGGCAGAGGAAAAGTCCGGTGACTCTGTCGGGAGCTTGTCCCGATGTGGCGTTTTGGAAACCGTTGGAGAGAGAGGCGTTGTTGCGGGAAGAGAGAGAAGTTAAAAGGGTTATGAGATTGGTGAAGTAAGTGCTGTTCCTTGTATAAGTCGTTGTATTTGCACAGACATGGTATACGTAACTGGGAGCTGGAACAGAATCTCTGGAGAAAGAATACTTGAGCATACACTGTTCGTAACTGAGCAGGACCTCTTTCTGGTTCGGACACCGAATTAAGGTGTCCGACACGGAAAAGGCAACACATCTACGGCAAAGTTCAGGCGAGACGGCAAAGCAAGTGAAATATCCGTTGACTCTGTCCGGAGGTTCCCCGACGGTGACGTTTTGGTATCCGGTGGTGTAGGAGGATTTGGGAGAGGAGAGTAAAGACAAAAGGAGTCGGAGGTTGGTGAAGGAAGTGCTGTTCCTTGAATAAGTTGTCGTATTCGGACAACTGTGGTATATGTAAGTGGGATCTTGAGCAGAAGCTGTGAAGCTTGTGAGAAAGGAGAAAAGGAAGATGAAAGTGGAGCAAGAAGACATGATTGCCTTTCTTCTGAGGTATTGTTTATGAGTTCGGTTCAAACTTAACGCATATAATAATGTCTTGTAAGATGCAAACTTTTGCACGTCATTTGTCAACGAGTAATTAGAGTCAACTTTATGTTCAAAATGGAAGAACTTTTTTTTTTCTTGGAAACAAATAAAAATGAAGAACTTTCAAACGGGAAAAGGAGCAACTCAAATAATACCATTTTGATATACTAGTCAAATACTAATTTCTCTGTGTGGATCTGTCTGATAAGTAATTAATCAAACCGAAAGGAAACGGGCATGAAAGAAGCTTTAGCTGTGAAAATCCTACGATTTGAGTCTTCATTTCAGTCCAAAATATTATTATTGCTTTAGCGTACTTAAGTCATAAATTACAAAATATTTCATTCTAAACCCTTTAACTTAATTGCTTATCTAAAGATGAAAAATTAGACTCAAAATCTATCAACGTCTATTTGTCAAAAATACTAAACGATTTCCTTGCTTTGTCATATGATACTAAAACTATTTCATATGCTTGTGATTTAGGGGTAGAATACAGACTGATGATATCAGCTAGGTTTACTCACCTATCATCTCCTTAATTCTTTCTTTATTTGTTTACTAACTTATTTGATAGATGTCTTTAGCGTAGCTTCCGTTATGCATTTATCCCTTCCCATATATTGTTTGTGTGTTCATATAAACTTTTCAATAGTTTGTTTTTTTCTTTGAAGAGGAACTTTTCAATATATATTAATCTCCTCGTTTTCTTTTTAAAAGTCTGCATCCTTAATCCTTATGTAGATGTGAATGTCTCTTTTGTAAAACAAGACCCAACTTTGCAATAAAAGGGAAGAAAATTGAATACTTGGCAAAGGGGCAATCGATCTGAAATGATCTGGTGGCTGTAAAACCCTAAAGTATACGTGTACAGATTAATATAATCGAGTCTTCTTAACAGAGATGTCTCGGCGAATGTCTCATCCCACGCTTTGACGAAACATACAATATTTAAGACTTAGGTAACATCAGAGCCATCGGCTGTTCATCAAAAGTCCACTAGAGAAAATTCAATAACGATTTTTCAGTTTTGTACAGCACAAAGATACAGAAAATAAAGTTGAAAATCCGTGTCCGAAAAATTATTATAACTTTCAAACTCGAGGTTTTCATTTTAATTCATTCAAACACAATTATAAGAAAAAACAAAATGGTCAACTTATTAGTATCCTCCTTATGGTTTGTGCTCATAAGCTCTGTCTCTGCAAATACTTGCTTTAACAGATCTGGTCTTTTCACACCCAATGGTACTTACGACCTAAACCGACAAGTCATGCTCTCTTCCCTTCCTTCTAACGTCACAGCTAATGATGGCCTCTATACCACATCGATGGGACAAGATCCGAACAGAGTATACGGTTTAGGGATGTGTGTCCCAGGTACCGAAGCACGATCTTGTTCTGATTGTATCATGGCTACCTCTAATGGGTTGGTACAGAATTGTACTAATGAGATAGAAGCTATAGACTGGAGGATGTATAGAAATACACTTTGTCTTGTACGTTACTTAAACCGCTCGTTTTACGGATCCCTCGATATGGGAATTATACGACATGACTACAATACTAGAGATTATCAACCTAACGTGACGGACTTCGATATGACATGGGAGGCTTTGATGATTGGTTTAATAGAAAATGTTTCTTCTAAGAACTTTGCAGCCGGAACACGAAGGCTTGAGTCTTCCAACACCAACATTTACGGTTTTATGCAATGCAGTAGAGACATATCTCTTCAAAACTGCACCCGGTGTCTACAAGAAAATGTGATTCATTTTAGGTCATGTTGCCGTGGGAGACAAGGTGGTACTGTTGGGAGGCCGAGCTGTTTCCTTCGATGGGAGATTTTTGCCTTCTTGGGACTTTCCGAAAACATTCCTCCTCCTGAAAACGGTAAGACCAAGTTTTTGTAATCTTTGCTGTAATCAGATCATATGACTATTTATTTAATTTAGCCCATATCTAACCATGTTAGAAGTCTTTTTTTCTTTGTTATGTTCTTGTTAGTTCTTATTCTTTGATTTGGGTTCGTGCAGATGAGAAAAGTGTTTCTACAGGAACTATTGTGGCAATTGTCATTGCTCCTATCATATTGCTTGCTCTAGGGTTTGCTATTTGGAGTAGAAGAAAATTGTTTAACAAAGTATTTAAAACTGAAAGTGAGTTTCCTCGTATTTTGGTTCAGAAGATAAGTAGATTTCAATAAGTTTTTAAATTTTATATGTTTGTCTCAGATGGTTATTTCTCTGCTGCAAAGAGACTAAAGAAGACTTCGGATACTGCACCTCTAGATAACGGTAAGGGGATACGAATTTGATATATAAATGTAATGACCCTAGGAAACTCTCCAGTTATATAATTCACTATGAGTTAATTCGTTCTGCAGCTGGGGATGATATTTCAATTTCAGGTTCACTTCAGTTCGATTTTAAAGCTATAGAAGCTGCAACAAGTAGTTTTCATAGTACTAACAAGCTTGGTCAGGGTGGATTTGGTGAAGTTTACAAGGTATAGTGTTTGTGCTAGAAATTTGACGAGAAAGCAGATACATTTATTCTGATAAATTATGTGACGTGCAGGGGACGTTTCCAAATGGAACAGAGATTGCTGTGAAGAGATTATCCAAAACTTCAGGACAAGGTGAAAGAGAATTCAGGAACGAGGTGCTTCTTGTAGCTAAACTTCAACATAGAAATCTTGTTAGGCTTCTTGGGTTTTGTGTCCAAGGAGAGGAAAAGATATTAGTATACGAGTTTTTGCCAAACAAGAGTCTTAACTACTTCCTCTTCGGTGGTAAGAAAAAAGCATATGATTGCTTTTATATTTACTGAAACGTTAACTATTGATCTCATCATAGTCAAGGTCAATATATGAGATATGTGCAGACTCAACAAAGAAGAGCCAATTGAATTGGACAAGGCGATACAAGATCATTGGAGGGATCACTCGAGGAATTTTGTATCTTCATCATGATTCGCGGCTAACAATCATACACCGTGATCTCAAGGCCAGCAATATTTTATTAGATGCGGATATGAACCCGAAAATTGCGGATTTTGGTATGGCTAGGAATTTTGGAATGGACCAAACGGAAGACAACACAGGAAGAGTAGTTGGAACATTGTAAGTATTTGTCATTTTTAGTTATAATCAGTATCTCTCTATTGTTGTTAATAAAACATAAATTTATATGCTATGATTTTGCAGCGGTTACATGCCGCCGGAATATGTAGCGAATGGGCAGTTCTCGACTAAGTCAGATGTGTATAGTTTTGGAGTATTGATTCTGGAGATTATTGGTGGAAAAAAGAATAGTAGCTTCCACGAGATAGATGGTTCAACAGGCAACTTGGTTACATATGTTAGTAAATTTCCACACTATCTCAAAATTTCTACTTCTTTTAGCAATGATTTTGAACTTTAGTTTCTTGGATAATGAATAAAAAGGTATGGAGGCTTTGGAACAATGATTCATTGTTGGAACTTGTAGATCCGGTCATTGGAGATAACTATGACAAGAATGAAGTCACTAGATGCGTCCATATTGGGTTATTGTGCGTTCAAGAAAATCCTACAGATCGTCCAACCATGTTGACAATAATTCAGATGCTCACTAATACTTCAATTACTCTGCCTGTGCCTCAACGTCCTGGATTTTTTTTCAGGGTCAGATCAGAGGATACCCCATTAGCTGAGAGCTTTCAGCCTGGGCCGTCCACTAGCATGTCGATTGCTTGTTCTGTCAATGATGTATCGATCACATGTGTTAGTCCTCGTTGAAAGCCAGGCTGTTGTTTAATATATATTCATTCTAAATTCAAAAAAATAATATATATATATATATATATATGTATATATATATATTTCTTCTTACATTACTTGATTATTAATAATAAACCGATTATTAATAATAACTCTCTTATTTTCGGTATATCGTAAGCTTTGGTTATAAACCGAAAAAATGAAAGAGTGAGATCAATACCGGCTCTAACCTAACATAGACAAATACCATGGGTCTATTGGTCCAGAAAAAAGTTAGATATTATTTTACTAATTAATAAAGTCAATTTGTTTGTTAAATATTAATTAAGTGGTAAAGTTATAACAAAAAGATCCATGATTAACTAAAACTAATCTAAATACAAAAAAATAAATTATTCAATATTATTCTCAATTTTCCATTAATAAAACTTAATTTACTCACAAAAACTCACTTTTATTTTTTTCTTTGTATACCACATTTTTTTGCTTTAATTTAAGAAAATGCAATAAATAAATGTTGAATTTTTTTTTTATAAAAGTGTCTTTATTTTATATTTCGCCTAAAGGTCATTAAGTATTTTTAAGACGGTGCTGAGTAAGATTACCCCAGGATGGCTACTTAATTCAACTGAACCGGTTACTGTGTAACCACAGTTAATTAATCCAAATTTATGATTTGGCTTGACTCAAAGTGGTTAACGAAACATACAATAAGACTTCGGTCACGGTGACATCAGAGCAATCCACTGTTCATCACAAGTCCACTTGAGAAAATTCAATGACGACTTGTCAGTTTTGAACAGCACAAAGAGACTGACAAACAAAGTTGAAAATCAGTGTCCAAAAAATTTATATCTTTAAAGACACGAAGTCTTAGTTCAAGACAATTTAACACAATTAAAAAAACAAAATGGTCAACTTCTTAGTATCCTTCTTCTTTGTCCTCATAACCTCTGTCTCCGCAAATAATTGCCGTAACAGATCTGGTTTTTTCACACCCGATGGCACTTACGACTTAAACCGCCGAGCCCTCCTCTCTTCCCTTCCTTCTAACGTCACAGCTAATGATGACTTCTATACGACGTCAGCTACAGGACAAGACCCGAACAGAGTATACGGTTTAGGGATGTGTGTCCCAGGTACTGATGCACGATCTTGTTCTGATTGTATCATGGCTGCGTCTGATGGGTTGGTGAAGAACTGTACCAAGGAGAAAGAAGTTATAGACTGGAGGATGTATAGAAATACACTTTGTCTCGTACGCTACTCAAACCACTCGTTTTACGGATCGCTCGATATGGAACGTTTACGCTATGAGTACAATACCAGAGATATTCAACCTAACGTGACCGATTTTGATTTGACATGGGAGGCTTTGATGTTTGGTTTAATAGAAGATGTTCGTGTTTCGTACTACGCAGCTAGAACACAAGTGGTTGAGTCTTCTAAGACCAACCTTTACGGTTTTGTGCAATGCAGTAGAGACTTATCTGTTCAAAACTGCACCCGGTGTCTACAACAGAACGTGATTGATTATAGATCATGTTGCCCTGGGAGCCAGGGAGGCATTGTTTCGAGGCCGAGTTGTTTCGTTCGATGGGAGATTGAAGCGTTCTTGGGACTTTTCGATAACAGTCCTTCTCGTCAAAAGGGTAAGATCATGTTTTGTAACCGTTGTTGTTATTAGGTCAAATGATTTATGCCCATATTTAACCATGTTTGAATTATTATTTTTTTTTCTGTTCTTGTTAGATTTTTTTCTGCTATATTTTTGTTAGTTACCCTTAATCACAATCAGTGGTGATTTGGGTTTGTGCAGATAAGAAAAGTGTTTCTACAAGAACTATTGTGGCTATTGTCATTGTTCCTATCTTATTGATTGCTCTAGGATTTGCAATTTGGAGGAAGAGAAAATCATATAAAGCATTTACTACTGAAAGTGAGTTTACTCGTGTTTTGGTTCAAAACATAAGTAGATTCAACAAATTTTTAGAAATCTTTATATTTTCTTCTCAGACGGTTATTTCTCTGCTGCAAAGAGATTAAAGAAGACTTATGATACTGCACAGCCAGATAACGGTACTGAGATATGAATCAGATATATAAATGTTTTGACCCTTGGAAATTAACTCTTCAGTTATATAATACACTATGTGTTAATTCGTTCTGCAGCTGGGGATGATATTTCAACTTCAGGATCATTTCAGTTCGATTTTAAGGCTATCGAAGCTGCAACAAGTAATTTTCATAATGCTAACAAGCTTGGTCATGGTGGATTTGGTGAAGTTTACAAGGTAAAGTGTCAGTCTCAAGTATTTAAATACTTTGTTTAAGAAACTTGACGAGAAAGCAAACACATATATTCTGATAAATTATGTGACGTGCAGGGGACGTTTCCGAATGGAACAGAGATTGCTGTGAAGAGACTATCTAAAACTTCAGGACAAGGTGAAAGAGAATTCAAGAACGAGGTTCTTCTTGTAGCTAAACTTCAACATAGAAATCTTGTTAGGCTTCTTGGGTTTTGTGTTCAAGGAGAGGAAAAAATACTAGTCTACGAGTTTTTGCCCAACAAGAGTCTTAACTACTTCCTCTTTGGTGGTAAGGAAAAAAACATATGATAGGGTTTTTATTTTCTGACACCTTAGTACTTGATCTCATCATAGTCCTAAAATTTAAGACATGTGCAGACTCAACAAAGAGGAGCCAATTGGATTGGACAAGACGATACAAGATCATCGGAGGGATTACTCGAGGGATTTTGTATCTTCATCAAGATTCGCGGCTGACAATCATACACCGTGATCTGAAAGCCAGTAATATTTTATTAGATGCGGATATGAACCCAAAAATTGCGGATTTTGGTATGGCTAGGAATTTCAGAATGGACCAAACGGAAGATAACACAGGAAGAGTGGTTGGAACATTGTAAGTTAATTGTCTGTTTTAGTTGTAATCTGCATCTATTATTGTTGTTGATAAAACAGAAAGTTATATGACATGTATTTTGTAGCGGTTATATGCCACCCGAGTATGTGACCAGTGGGCACTTCTCCACAAAATCTGATGTGTATAGCTTCGGAGTATTGGTTTTGGAGATTATTGGTGGACAAAAGAATAGTAGCTTCAACGAGAAAGACGGCTCAATAAGCAACTTGGTCACATATGTCAGTACATTTCCACACTATCTCAATTTTTGTTACTTCTTTTAGCGATGATCATTACTCTAAACTTTAGTTTCTTGGAAAACAAATAAACAGGTGTGGAGGCTTTGGAACAATGATTCATTGTTGGAACTCGTAGATCCAGTCATCGGAGATAACTATGATAAGTATGAAGTCATCAGATGCGTCCATATTGGGTTATTATGCGTTCAAGAAAATCCAACAGATCGTCCAACCATGTTGACAATATTTCAGATGCTTACTAATACTTCAGTTACTCTGCCTGTGCCTCAACCTCCTGGATTTTTCTTCAGGGTCAGATCAGAGAAAGTCCCATTAGCTGAGAGCTTGCAGCCTCATCCGTCCACTAGCATGTCTATTGTTTGTTCTGTCAATGATGTGTCGATCACGTGTGTTAGTCCACGTTGAAGGCCAGGCTATTTTTGAAAAGATTTAAACAAACGAAGAGCTATGTTATTGTTAATCATAACTGTCATCCTAATCCCAGAAGAGTACTGTCTCAGTAACTTACAAATCAAAGCATGCACATTAACTGCCATCCATGTTATTTTCTTTGTATAGATGATAAGGGTTTTTAAGCCTTAGAGCAAATCAATGTAGTAGTTAAGATTGTCGAACCACAGAGAACTAGTGATCTAAACACTAAGACTACACAAACTTTCCTAATCTAAGCAAATAAGAGAGATGGTTTATTTGTAACAAGCCAAGATCCTAAAAATATAAACAAAGGTGATCTCAAATCCAATCTAGAAACAATCACAAGAACTACTTTTAATCAAATGATAAGGTAGAATCCATGGGATTAAGGTAATTAATCTAAGCAATTAGTTTCCAAGTGAAGGTGCAAGCTTCAAGCAATCACAAGTCTCTATAGGTCTAGACACTTCAATAGACAAACTCTTTCTCAAGATGGATGCCCTTTTGCAAAGATAACTCAAACATCTAATTTCTTAGGTTGAATGTTATCTAAACAAACATTATGATTTAGTCTACTAACCATCTAAGCTTTCTTAACATCAAATCTCTTTGGTTAAGTAAGTTTAGAGCAATACTAAGTTCATTCAAGCATTTTAACAAACACCTTCCGGGCATAAAATAGCTTAAGGTCTAGATGAGAGTGATCAAGTCTAATCTAGCATTAAAAACANTCTTAAATCTACCTAACCCATGGATTCTATAATTGTCTACTCAAAAATCTCCATGATAAACCTTAAATCCATGATGGATTCAAGGCTAATCATGTTAATGAGAATTAGAAACAAGATATAAGATGAATACTTCCTTAAAATGATCAAAAGGTTCAAGCTTTTACAATTAGAAACAAGTTTTAGAGAGAAAATGAGATACATTAGGGTTTTTGGGGGCTAAAACTATATATAGAGGTGTACAATTCGTGCTGGTTTAATTAAATTAAACCGAGTCAAACCAGGTCAAAACCGGGTCAAACCGGTCAACGCTTCACATCTCAGCTCGCAGCGACCTTCACGCCTCGCTCCAGCAAGCCGCTCCCGAGCTCGCTTCGATCCCGGCGATGGCATCACATCGCTGCAATCACCCGCTCCAGCTCACGCGATTCTCCGGTCCATCTTGTCTCCTCGGTATCGCGCTCTCCGGTTCACCACCGGCGGTCTTCCTCGAGCTTCTCCTCCGCCATGACTTCATCGAGCCAAGCTTCCTCTTCTGTGACCCACCGCCGCGTCTCTGGTCCAGCTTCGTCGAGCTGCAGTCTTCACCTCGTCGTCGTCGAGCTTCATTCTTGCCGTTGTCTCCCGGAACCGTCAGGAGCAGCTCCAGCCATCGCCGGAGTCGCAACCTCCGAGTTCTCAGCCTTCGAGTTCTCCACCTCCGTCGTGACAGCTCATGCTCCTCCCCGTGGTCAGCTAACTCGCCGTCGTCATCAACAGCACGGCCAAAGGGAAGCTCGAGCTCTCCAATGGTGAGCTTTTGGGTATTTTCAAAACAGGACCTCGGAGTCTTTCTTATTCACGCAATCACCCCACTCCTATTTGCAGAGTGGTCCCTGAAGTTCTGCTTCGTTATAAAATGGCCCCAAGACTTTTTAATTGTGAGAACAGACCTTCTTTTAATTGCGCATTGAGTCCCTCATCTCTTGTCAACATCATATTGCACCCAATACTTCCATAAAGTGCAATTTAAACCCTGTTATATGCAAATGAACAATCTAATGCAATACAAACGTAATATGTGCACCTAATATGCAATCTAAACACCTAAATGCAACTTAAAACACTAATATGATCAAAAAAGAATATTAAAAACCATTAAAAACACTATATATCAATAGAAATAATTTTTAACTGCACATCTATCTTACCAGTCATATATCAATGCTTCGAAACAAAAAAAATCGATATCCCTTAGACACACCAAATGATTTGATATACCAAAGATCATCATGAGTCCTAAATCTTATAAGTAACAGTCTACAATCATTATATCACACCATTTTTATGTATGAGTAGTTTTGATTCTAACGAGGAGCTACTTGAGTAATGGAAGCATCGTCCACAGAACCTGTGGCAAACGTATCCATGGATGGATCCACTCCTCCAACTTTTTCATGCTTACTTCGGGAGAAAAATCCAGGTGGTTGAGGCACAATGAGAGGGATGGAGCTAGTAGTGAGCATTTGGACGATATCTGACATGGTTGGACGATCTTCAGCTTCTTCTTGAACACATAGTAAAGCGATATGGATGCATTTTATAACTTCGCCTGTTTGATAATTATCTCGAAATGATTCATCCATGAGCTCTAATGGTGATCCATTGCTCCATAGTCTCCATGTCTATTACATATTTTAATAATCAAAACGTTGGTCACTGTTAAATGAAGCAAAAAAATAAATGAAACTTTTAAGGTTATATACTCACATATGAAACCAAATTGCCAGCAGTACCATCCATTTGATGGGTACTGCTGTTTTTCTTGCCACTTATAATCTCAAGAACTAAGACCCCAAAACTGTACACATCTGATTTCATGGAGAATTGGCCGTACATTGCATATTCCGGAGACATGTAACCACTGCCACAATACTTGAAATGTTAAGTTAATAAATTCATATTATTATTCTCTACATAGCATATTATGAAACAGAAAATCTTACTAGGTTCCGACTACTCTTTTTGTATTTGCTTCTGTTTGGTCCATTCCAAAAATTCTCGCCATTCCAAAGTCTGCGACTTTTGGGTTCATATCAGCGTCCAGTAAGATGTTACCGGCTTTGAGATCACGATGGATGATTGTGAGTCGTGAATCTTGATGGAGATATAGAATCCCTCTAGCAATTCCTTTAATGATTTTGTACCGTATTGTCCAGTCCAGCTTGTTCTGCATGGTAGAATCTGCACATGCATATTTATTTATTTATTTTTAATGGCATGAAATCTGAAAATGATATGTTAGGCTAGGTATTGAACTCAACTTACCAAAAAGGAAGTAATCGAGGCTTTTATTAGGCACAAACTCATAGATAAGTATCTTCTCTTCTCCTTCCAAACAAAAACCAAGCAGCTTTACCAAATTTCTATGCTGAAGCTTTGCCACAACAACAACTTCATTCTCGAACTCTCTTTCACCTTGTCCTGATGTCTTTGATAGCCTCTTCACCGCAACTTGTACTCCACTAGGAAAGGTACCCTGCAAGAGTAAGTTGTTTTACAAAGAACCAGTCAGTTTTGGAAATGTGGGTAAGATTAATGAAGAAGTTCATAAAGTTGCTTTGTAAAGTAAGTATTCATTCCAAATGCAGGAAGGTTATTAAGGATAGGAAATAGAGTTTTTTAGTTCTGCAGCTCTGTTGAGTTGGGACGAGAATGAGCTTTGTGTGTGACGGTATGGCGATTAATAGAAAGATTCTCTAAGTGAGTAGGACCGTAGGTTATCGTACTTACTAATGCTCAAAGTATGTGCGAGTAATATGATGAAACAGAGGAAGAACAGAGTAATCTGATGGAGTTGATTTACATGTAAGTACTTTGTCAAACATTTAAGCCTTCTTTCGCTTCCCACTCTCAAATTTTACATCATTTGACAAAGGTTTACACAATTGAGAACACTTTCAAGGTTTTATAACTCTAAACCTACTTTATTATGATGTGTTATGAAAATTTAGACTAGTACATAATCCACTACATTGGAGGCTATATGCAATGGTAATAATAATACCTTGTAGACTTGCCCAAATCCACCTTGACCAAGTTTGTTAGTTTCAGAAAACTTATCAGTTGCTGCCTCAATTGCCTTAAAATCAAACTGAAGTGACCCTGCAGTTGTAAGATCGTCCCTATCTGTCAAAACATTTAACATCTGGATCATGACGGAATAAACATTCGAGCTGAGAATACATAGTTTATCAATTCAATTTTTACCTTCAGCAAGTGGTTCCGTCTCATAAGTTCTCTTTTTCTTTTTAGCCCAGAAAATGTATATGAGAAGAAGAAAAATGACTGTGGTTGGAACAACAACAGCGATTGCTATGACAGAGGAGTTTCTGCCTTTTCCTGTATTCAAGAAAAAAAACATATGATTATGACAGAGGAGTCAGAGTTCATATGAACCCTTTTTCTAGCAAAAAAAAGTTGTGATGAAACATGTAATCAAAGAGAAGTGGATATTTAGACCAGGTCCTTGGGAAGGCGGAGGAGGAGCTGAATCCAACTGAGGGTGAGGAGGTTGAGCAGTTTCTTCGTAGAATATGTAGCGCTCGTACCTTGAGTTACAACTCGGCATAAGAAGTCTTCCCCCAATTTTATCAGTGGGTAATAAACGGATGGTCTGTTGTAGACAATTAAAACAAGCCTCATTCGACAAATCGGGTATGCATTGAACCATTCCATAAATTGTCTCAATCGGTGGTGTAAAGTTGGACTTGCTAACCGCAAACCTTTCTGAACTATTAACAGCCTCGTTTGCACACTTGTTCATCAAAGAGAACACTACATCACGAAACTGATCTTGTTGGTTTTCTGAAACATTCTGAGTGTTCCACATGATTAGTCCATTTGTTCCGTTTTGGAGTGATGTTTCCGAGAAAATATTCTGGTCAGTGTATCGAAGCATGCACTCGTCGTACCATATCAAGACTGTTTTCTCCTCTGGACATCGATACAGAGTGTCGTTGGCAGCAAAGACGACGCAGTTATTGCAGACCTCCCGCGACAGATCTCTCCGACAAAGAAAAAGACCAAAAACCAAGTCAGGGCTTTGTTGACCTTCAACTGTTCTGTGAGATCTGGTGGGGGAAGAAAGACTATTGGAAGAAAGAGAGGACAAAAGGGCTCTAACGTTGGAAGAGTATGTGCTGTTTTTGGAGTAAGTTGTCGTGTTTGGGCAAACATGGTATATGTAGTTAGGATCTTGTTGCTGTGCATGAGATCTTAAGCTTGCAAGTAAGGCGAGGAGGAAGAGAGCACAAGCAGACATTATCTCTAGTTCTTCTTTCCCTTCCCTTCCTTGGTGTTTTTTTTTATTTTTTCTTTACCTTCTGCGTAAAAGATTGCAATTTCTTACAATTCAGCGTCAAGTTCTTATTGGCGAGTATTCTAAAGGACCTGGTCTGAATTCTACATGTACAACCAGGGGCGGTTGAACTTAAGGGTCAAATTTTTTTTTTTTTTGAATTAAATGTTAAATTGAATTCAAAAAAGAAAATCCTTTTTACAATAAAGTCCTTTCCAAAACTCCTCTTAACCATTATGAAAAAACACAAACAAATAAATCTCAGCTTCAAACTTCTTCAAAACTTCTACTCCAAGCAATCCTCCAACTCTTAACTAGCTCTCACTCCTACTAGTTAACCAGCCCTCAC